CCTCCTTGACGCTGTCATGCAAGCAGACTTCCTTGTCTGCTTCCAGACAGACACTTGTTGAATTCATTAGTCAACAAAAAAACCACAGAATCCCAGCCTATTGTCCCACTAAGCATGAATATCCACAGCATGTGGATGGTAATGATTACAGGCACTGCTGATTTTGTGAAATTGATGCTGACATTTTATAGCTTGTTCCAAAATTGTGATGACGACTTGATTTTCATTTCTTGCTGTTTTATTGTGTTTATTTCACTGAACTCCTCCTTATTTTCTGTTTCTGTTAAGAAAACTCTTTTGCCAGTTCACTTTCTGATTTGTCACTTTCTATTTTCTCTCCTTGCTTCCAATCATTTCCTTTCTAACTTTCCTGAAACTTTAACCTCTCTGCACCTGCCTGGCTAACTTGATCCTTCTCCCTGGTCCTTGTGTCGCTTTTCTTGTTTGATCCTTGACCTCTGGCTCCTGTTTGTGCCCCGTCGACCTCTGCACCACGTCTCTTCTCCCCACTGTCTCTTGCTCTTTGCTCCTTGCCCCCTCATCGCTTGCCATAGCACACTGGTTGGACTCTTCATATATGAGGAACATACAGAGCCCAGTCGAACCAGGCTACAGTAAGTCCTCGTGCACTTCTTCTTTCCTTCTTCTTTTAATGCTGCCGGTTTCTCCTCCTCTCTTGTTTTTGGCACACTCTCCTGTCACCTGCTCTGCTCAGTTATGCACTCCCATTTCCAAACACACTCTCAGATAACATTCCAAGGAAAGGACTCAGCTTGGGCATGTAGTGTTTGAGTCCAGCGAGTCTGTTTTTCCAAGTGTCTTGCAGGCATCTCCTGGCGTTTTCTTGATGCTGGTGGAAAAATGATGGGGTTATTCCATGGAGTAATAGAGTCCGTCACACTCGAATGACAACACTTGCGTTCCCAGCTGAAAACGTCTTTGTAAAGTTATCCTGGAATTACATAATTACTCATCTTTGTGGACAGCCAGCACTTCCACTATTTAATTTGAAAAGCACTTTTTGTAATTTCAACCTCATGCAGACAACTCATCCCCATGATATGAACCAGCTGTTGGACAAGAATGACTACAACATGAGTATAGAAACATGCTTTATTATTTACAATGGTAGTTTTTGATGCTTTTATATTGCAGGCTGTGGGAGCTAGCATAATAGTGAAGCCAGAAGTTATTCCCAAGAGTTCCCCAGAGAGCAATGAGTGGGCTTGGAGACAGAGCTTTTTTGGCCGGCCACCAGCAAAAGGGTTAAGTAGCAGGGGTCCTGTCTACATGAGTTAAGCTGAGAAAGAGGCAGCTGGCATCTGAATATATAACACTGCGAGACACACAGAGATTAAGAAAGAGATGGAGATGAGAGAGAAAGAGAAAAAGCGCATGGGAGGGAGAAACATCTATTATTAAAGATTTTCGATGGGATCGTTGGTGCAGTCAGTCAGTCAGTGTGGTTTGGGCCTTGTTCTTACAGATTCCGACTCTGCCTCATTCCCTCCCTCTGTGGCTCGGGTGGCGCTGGGCCGGTGCCGTGGGCGCTGCCTTGGGGGCTGAAGGTCAAGCCCAACGCGGCTGGGCTTTAAAGGCCAGGCAAGGGCTCACTGCTCAATCAAGCCTTTGTCTTCTGCATAGGCCTCTATGTGTTCAGAGGGGGGCCCTTCACACAAAGCCACCACAGTTCTACTGAACAGCTTTAATAGCTAAATAAGTTTTTGAATTAAGAGTGTGGAATGCTATTTTTCCAGATTCCTTTTTCTTTTTTTCATCCCACCCGTCATGTCTGCACTCCAAAAGTTTCATCACCCTTGATGGTAGCTGTGCTTGACAAGGGGATCCCCCTCCTACCCATCTCCCGCTGGAAACAGTAAGTGATGGATAGCAGAATGGGTCTTGGAGTAAAAGAGCCGCTCGTTAGCAGCAGGGCACAACCCGGCTCTCTAATCAAAGGATCTCAGGCGGCGGCGGTCCCACACTCGCCAGCTTGTAACGTCAAAAGCGGCGAGCTCAGAGAGAGTTGGGGCTACAAGCTGCTGTTGACCCGGCGGCGAGTACCCACTCAAGTGATTAGATTATATGCGGGTCAGATGAGGCGCTTTGATGAGTAACTTTGATGTTGCCTGTCTTTTGGTTCCACATTCAGGCCCAATAATTATTCTTGTAAGTCTGAAAGTAACAGCCTGCGAAGGAACCACTCCAGGCTGTGCTAACGCCTGCAGTTCTGCTGTTACATGTTCGCCTCACTGTGTGTTTTCACAGGCAGCGCCCCGTTTACTTTGTCATAAATGAGGCTTTTCCTCACCAGGAACGGGATGTCTTGTAGTGCCAATGTTGCTAGTAGGAAAAGGGGTTTCAACAGTGTTAAGAGGAGGACAGCTGTTTACCAGCCATAGCTTAGGCAGCAGAGCATAAGGCAGCAAGGCTCCCCACAGGCCTTTTAACACAGTGAACACACAGGCAGAGTGTGAGACACAAAATCTTGAACTTTTAATTAAATAGCCCCTGGTAAGCATGATAAATGTGTGTTGTCAGTGTCCACACGTCTAGTGATATTTAATTAACCAAAGAGCAGGGAAAGAGTAGAAACATTATACAGTGTAGTTTCTACATGTTGTGTGTATGTCAGTGTGTGTGTGTGCCTGCAAATCTATTGTTTTGGACATATTTGGGCATGTATGTTTGTAGGCTCAGCCGATTCCTACTTATAACATGACTCTTTGCTTTTGGCATTGCAAGTAGCAGCTCACTGCAAGAAACAGTACCAATATTGACTTCCTCTCTAAACCCACACTGCCAGTCTGAAATCAGAGGCTGGCAGGCCCGTTCTAACAAAGTGTTGGCAGGAGAGTGAGAACGGGGCGCCCTGCGGGCCTGGGCTATTTTAAGTTTCATGGGCTAAGCCTGTGACATTGGAATTATAATAATACAGCTGACATTTTTGTTGATAATGAGTTACTCATATAGCTCATGGATATCTATCACACAGCTGATTATATGCTGCATAGAATTTGACAATATTGGCAATATGTCACATATTCTATCTAGAACTGGTATAGAAAAATGTATTACTGAGTTGAATTTATCTTTTTACGGAAGTTAAATCATAATACTCAAAAGGCAACATAACTTTAGAAACAGCTGATCATTAAAAATGGCAAGCTTATGAGCTGTGGAATTGAAAAAGCAAAAGATGTCTACCATATGAAGTGGTAGTAGCATTATTAAAGGTGTCATATTTTACACTTTTCCAGTGTTTTATTCAAAGTTCTCATATCCATAAGAAGATATACTTGCTGTTTTAAGAACCAAAAACCATCTCAATGTAGTTTTACATCTCCTCTCTCAGGCTCTAGTAACAACAGGTCGGTGAGCCAATCAGAGGAGAGGCTCTGAGTCTCTCCTCTGAGATGTGGTGACTGCTTTGTTGTGACATCACAAAGTTACAGAAGTCCAAACGGTTCGTTTCAAGGCTCAGTTTCTGAATACAGGCTGTGTGCATTTCTCTGTTGAGTGCTTTGATAGTTTCCCAGTATTAATATAGAACCAAGACCTACTTTATAATCAAAAAAGACATGGAAATCTCACTTTATACAATATGAGACCTTTTAATGTGCAAATCAAAAATCAAATTAAATACATTTTTTTACGTTATTATTGGACAAAGCACAGTGGAGTTTGTGTCACTTCCTGCTTGCCAATGCATTTAAATTGAAATGGAGCATAAAAAGCCTTTTTTTATGGTCTGTTTAAACCCACTTGTGTAGCAGGTGGGTGGAGTTTTTTTGTATGCAGGACAACATGAGAGCAAGTAGATAAGGGACAAAGGAGAGAATCTGTTTTTTTTTTCACTTTGCAAAAAGAAATTGAATTTTGTCTCTCTTCCCCTTGCTGCATTTCTTCAGAGTGATTAGAGGGCAGGGTTCAGCCACAGTGTAGCAGGGCTCAGTGCCTTACTCAAGGACACTTTAGTGGACACTGTAGATGTGAAACCAACCTGCTGCTTGCAAGGGTTTGAAAGAAAATCAGTTTACCAGAAAAACAAAAAAATCTGGATTTATACTGACGGGATTTCCCAATTTTACTTGGGAAATTTTGGAACTCCAAACAAGTTAAAATAAGGGGAACTAATTGCAGCTTCAGTATGTTCAACCAGTTGACCTATATGTTTAATGACCAGTCAGCTCACACAGCCTCTCTGTAGGCCATTGATACAATCCCCGCTGCCCCCCCCCCCCCGCTGCTCTCCTGATGTATTTGACTTGGTACATGTGGCGGGAATGTTGAGGCCCCTTTCCAGAGTTATCCACAGAGGATTTTCTTCTTCTTCCTCTGCAGCCGTTTGCAAAGCAGTGATGCTGATTCAGACTCCCACTTACCTTCCAGCTCTCTGATATCATCAGCCTTCAGTCAGGAGGTCTGGTGCGAACCTTCTGGCCCTGCTGTTTTGGCGGATAGCCATGCACCGAGTATCTGAATGTTCGCATTGATCAGTTTTCAGACACTGCACTCACTTTTCACTTTTGCAACAAAGGGGCTTTATCAGCGTCTGTCTGCCACTGTTTGAGCATATTGGGTATGCGTTTCCGTGCGACATACGGAGAGGAAGACGTGCCTTGATACTGTAATTTCACAGTTATATTTGAGTGCCTGTGTCAGCGTGTGCCTCTCGTTAGCTCCTACGTGCGGTGCAGCGCTGCAGTTGTCGGTTTCAGTGCAGACCCAACCACAATTGAGATATGGAAATAGACGCCATAATTTGTATGTGGCTCTCGTTGAAGCCATAGTCATGCTTTCCAGTTTTTACTTTCTGCAACATTTAACCTAAGGCTTTCCTAAGGGAATTAATTCCCAAGCAGTATCCCGTATCACATCGCCTTTAATAGATTTAGCGACTCGAATCTGGCTTATAATCTAATGCTGAGCCTGTGGTCGTTGTCTGTTATTGTGCGGTCTAGCTGACAGATTCTCCTCCTCCTTCCCTGTGTTTCTAGTTTATTACAGAGCTCTCGTCAACTTCACCGACTCCCTGGTCTACAGCCCTGAGCTCGAGGACCTCTTTTCTCCAGCCTTTAATGAGATCTCTGAAGCAGTGGTGGACACGGTACGTCCTTCCTTCCTTTGTAGGATAAACTCAACTCAATTGTGGTCGTGTGCTCTAAGCTAAGGCTACCTTATAAGGTTCAGGCATGCAATTAATGACTTGGCTGATTTAAGCATGTGTGTGAGACCCTTTTTGTCTGAAAAGGAGGCTTGTTTATTTCAACTTAACCGAGTCTGGTTTTCCCTCCACAGCTGGAGTCGGAGTACAACAGGATTCAAGGTGTCCAGACAGTCAGTGTGGTCATCATTAAGTAAGAACACAAATCCTTTAAATCACACTTTGTGACACCCAAAGTAGATACCCTGCAGTGGCTTCTGCCTGGGTGTTTTACTCTTGCCAGGTGATATTTCCTTCTCTTTTTCCATACTGCACAAGGCCAGCTCTGTAGGCCTGTGCAGTCAGTAATTCATCAGCAGTGAGTAATTCCTCTAAAAGAGAAACCTTACCTCTAAATAGCTCCCCTGTTTAACCCCCTCTGCAGCAATCGCCACACAGTGTGTAGCCTCACCAGGCCTTTCATGCTTTTTGCAGGAAGATGATAAGAGACGACGGCGTGGACGTGTTTGTGGAGTTGGACGTGGGTTCGGACTACAACAGCAACGACGAACAGATCCGCAGTGTGCTGTACAACGTGGTGAAGGAGGGAGCCATCGCTTCCTACGTCACGTCAGTCCAGGGCTTTCAGTTCAGACGGCTCGGAGAAGGTAGGACCTCAAACAGAGGGGGAACCCCTCTTAAGACAGCCCTTTAACACTGCCTCTCTTCCACAAGAGTTTGCTGTGTGTTTACACCAAATCAAGGTCCACCAGAGCAGTAGGCAGTGTCCTTAACGTTTCCCTCTGGTTTTTAGCTCAACCTTTGCCTCCCGTGGAGCCTATAGCAGTGCCAGGTTTGTACTGTGCCATGGTAACTGCTGCATGGTAACTGAGCCGACTGTACTGTAGAAACTGTAGGATGGCCTTTAGGAGGAACAGTCGAGCATTTCCTAGGAATTTTACGATGACTTTTACTTCATGTACTGGCAGTGGTCATGTGGTCTGGGGAATGTTTTGCATGGAAGCACCAGTGTATCGTAGACTTCTTCAGTGTATCGTGGTCCCTGACGTCCGGTAGTGCACAGTGAATAAGAAGGACCTTTGCATGGCATGAGTCTGATTAGGAATGCTGCCGTTTACTGCAACGTAAACAGGCTTTTGATTTATGCAAATTCCATCAACTATGTACACAGGCATGGAAACTGATATCAGTATAATGGTGACTTTATCTTTGAAACCCTTTACTCAGAAGATAAGACTTCCTCACTCCAGTCTGTCTTGTGTGGTCTATGTGTCTAGTGTAGTCTGTTGAGGCTGGTCTAGTCTGTGTGTCTGTCCTGTATCTCTAGTGTATCCGGTGAAGTCTGAAATCCCGACACAGGCAACACCAGTCAGATTCAACTATCTAACTAGTCTAGTGTGTGTGTCTGGTCTAGTCTGTCCATGTAGTATATATGCCCGGTCTCTTTTGTCCATCTAGCCTATTCTGTGTGTCCGTCCAGTCGACAGTCCTGTAAATGTAGTCTAGTCTTTTGTGTCTAGTCTATTCTTGTCCAGTCTCTGTGTCTTATCTAGTCTTGTCTAGTGTGTGTGTATCTAGTCCTGTCTAGACTTTAAATTTAGTCTAGTGCATCCACCTTAGTTAGTTTGTCTAGTTTAGTCTAGTCTGTGTATCTGTCTAGTCTGTCTATCCAGTGTGTCTAGTTTGTCTAGTCTGTCTTGTCTTGTTTCTGTGTCTTATCTAGTCTATTCTTGTCTAGTCTGTGTGTCTTTTCTACGTAGTCTGTGTCTAGTTTGTCTAGTCTATCTGGTCTAGTCAGGGTTTAGTCTAGTCAGTTTAGTCCAGTCATCTGCATCCATCTTAGTCAGTCTAGTCTATAAATCTGTCAAGTGTGTCTATCTAATCTCTCGAGTCTGTATGTCTAGTTTGTCTTGTCTAATCTAGTCTGTCTGGTCTCGTCTGTGGATCTGTCTAGTCTGTCTATCTAGTCCTTCTAGTCAGTGTGTAGTTTGTCTAGTCTGTCTGATCTAGTCTTTCTGTCTATCTACCTGTGAGGTTATGTTAATTGAAGCACAGTGTGGATTGTACACCCAACAGAAAATTTAATGCAAAAATTTACAAAAATGTAATAATATTCTTTAAAATCTTCTTGCGCATCTTGCAGCACTTGTCTAATAATAGTCTTTACAACATGCCTGCGTTGCACTCGCTGTAGTAATCTGATGTCTGAGGGGACCGGGATGCTGTTGTTCTTCACTTCACATCTTATTTGTGTAGTGATGTGACATTGGTGTGGTGTCTTGGCCGTACTGTAGCCGTGGCTCGCACGTCTTTGATCCGTCAATACCCTCCCCCTCTGCATCTCTCTTAGTAACCCCCAGCATCAGACCCTGCATGCCAGATGAGCACAGGTGTGGTGATGGGACATGTATCCTGATGGAATACCTGTGTGACAACAGACCAGACTGCCGAGACATGAGTGATGAGACCAACTGTGGTGAGTGGCTTCAGCTCGACTGGTCGGCGGGCTCTAACACGTTCGGCTGTAGCATGGCTGGATGATGTACGATGTGTTCACTTACGGTAACAGCTCCAGGTATCCACTCTGTACACTTTGCTGAGTTTAATTAGAGATTTTGTTTTAGATGTAAGACCGCCAATACCTCCAGTCTTCACCACCCCTCCCACCACCACCACCACCACCACCACCACCACAACCAAGAAGATCCCACGGCCCGCCGGCCCACCTGGACCCTGCAGAGCGGATCAAGCCACGTGCCAGAGTGGAGAGTGCATCCCTCGAGACTACATCTGTGACGGAGAGAGGGACTGCTCGGACGGAAGCGACGAGTTCAGATGTGGTAAGTGCCACGGCCTTATGCGTGTGCAAACACTCAGGCAGCAACATACGCTCTTATCATCATCCTCTGTCTTCTCCCAGGAACTCCATCTCCCTGTGAGCCCAATGAGTTCAAGTGTAAAAATGGTCGTTGCGCTCTCAAGCTTTGGCGTTGTGATGGAGACAATGACTGCGAGGATAACTCGGATGAGACAGACTGCCGTAAGTCTTCATTTCTTTTGGAACAGCGAAACATTTTACAAATTGCGCTCTGGACCTGAGTGACTTAACAGTTGCTGTACATCTCCAAATTTTTGTCATAACTTTTAGCCACCAAGGGTCCTGGCGACAGGTGTGCACCTGAGCAGTTTGAATGCCTTAGCGACCGCACCTGCATCCCAGCTAGTTACCAGTGTGATGATGAGCCAGACTGCCCTGACCGCTCCGATGAGTACGGCTGCAGTAAGTCTCACACCGACAGCTGCCTACAGCTCCCGGCTCGTACAATTTTTCTTTCTCTCTCTCGTGCACATTTCAGTCATTTTGCAGTCACTCTTCTCTCTTCGCTCCTCTGACTCTCCCCTATAGACACCCTCTGAGTTCCTTTGCACACTGTGACTAATTTGCTGCGAACCAGGCTCTTTTCACACATGCGTTGACTGAGACACAGAGCTTTTTGTGAACCATCCATTCCTCAGAACTGAAAGGGAATTGTCCGTCCATAACAGAGAATTATATTTTCCTCTGACTTTTTACTAGCTGCACTGGATCGCCAAATTCCGCTCGCATGCCCGCCTTTTTTTTGTACATGTGCGTTCACTATGTGGCTTAAACAGTTGTTATCTTCTTGACAATTCACAGCCCCTCCCTCCGTGACAAGCCCACCGGAAGAGTCCATCCAGGCAGCGCGGGGGGCGACGGTGACGTTCACCTGTCAGGCTGTTGGAGTGCCAATGCCCATCATCACCTGGAGACTCAACTGGGGACACATTCCTGTCAGCGGCAGGTGGGTTTGATGAGGAATTCTTTACCCTTCTGATTTTGTAATTAAAATTAATTTAGTAGCTCATCATGACAGCATAGCAGTGTGTAGCATAGCTGCATTTGCATTTGCAAAAACATGTGTTGTAAGCAGAACAAAACATTGCATCTGGTGAAAGCCCACATTATGTGTATTACACCACCAAGACTTGAAAATTGACCATGAATTTATTTCTTCTTTTCACCTGACATTTGATGAGTGTTATTTGAAACTAAAGCGTAACTCAACAGCCTTCCAGTGCTAACTCCTAACTCTAGTTAGAAACTGTGATTTTAATTACCTACATATTTGTGGTGTACTCCAACTCAAAAAGTTCCTGTTTCAAAATGTTTATTCTGGGTGTAGCTTTGCTGTGTGTGATTAGGCAATTACAGTTGATAGAGTTGGTAGATTGTGTAACAGTATTTCCTCAGAAAAATGGTTAATGGACTGCACTTGTATAGCACTTTACTAGTCATATTGACCACTCAAAGTGCTTTACAATGGAAGCCACATCCAACCATTCACACAGGCATTCATACAGCGCTTTCTTCTATATATATATATATATACACGCTCTTACTCTAATGGAACAGCCATCATGGGCAATTTGGGTTTCAGTATCTTGCCCAAGTACACTTTGACACACAGACTGGAGGAACCAGGGGTCAAACCACCGACCTTCTGGTTCACAGCCGCCCCATTACCATGAATATCCTGGTTGACCTTGACATTTATTACTGTTAAAAAAAAAAAAAAAAAAAAAAATCATGTCTGCTGTATTTCTGCGTCCCTAGAATCTCCATGACCAGCGATAACGGCCGCGGCACCCTCACCATTCGTGATGTCAAGGAGGCAGATCAGGGGGCCTACACCTGTGAGGCCATCAACGCTAAAGGCCTGGTGTTCGGCATCCCTGATGGAGTGCTAACGCTCACATCAAATCCCAACCCAGGTACTGACACTTCACTCTTACTGCAGGTTCTCCTTCAGAGACAAAACCATAAATGAATTCTGATTGAAAATAAAATACATTTTTTTTCCTTTCTTATCCTGTTTTCTGCAGGAAACTGTCCTGACGGTCACTTCAGTGTGGAGGGCCGCTGCGTGTCCTGCTTCTGTGCTGGAATCTCCAAGAACTGCAAGAGCACCGGCCGCTACCGCAACCAGATCAGCCTGCGCTTCACGGACGAGGAAGACTTCAAAGGCACTGGAACTATTGATGCTTATGATACTGATAGAGACACACTGTCAAAAGAAATATGTTACTTAGTCCTAACATTGTGGCCATGAATACAAACATAAACCAGCCTGAATGAATCTGTTGTCATTGCTTCCAGGAGTGAATGTCACTTACCCATCCAGGCCAGGCACTCCTCCTCTCTCCTCCACTCAGCTCCTCATTAACCCCGAGATGGAAGAGTTCCAGCTCGTCGACCTATCGCGCCGTTTCCTCAACCTTGACTCCTTCTGGACTTTGCCTCGTCAGTTCCTTGGCAACAAGGTAAAGAGCGCAGTCCTTTGCAGGCTTTATTTCACTTAAATTATGATCACACATTATAGAAGAAAATCTTTCATCTACTTTTAGATCGACTCCTACGGAGGGTCCCTGAAGTACAAGGTGCGGTACATACTGGCGCGCGGTCTTACTGAGCCTGTGGAGAAGCCAGATGTGATGCTGGTTGGAAATGGGCGCAGGCTTGTGTACCGCAGAGGCAGCGGCACCCCTGCCCAAGTGGTCAACCAGAAAGAGATCAGATTCACTGAGGTAGGTTTTCTGGATAAGAAAAGTTGTGAATTTGGGTTGATGACAAAGTTTCGTCAAAAAAAAAAAAAAAAAATCTCAAACATATGGTTTAAAAACACACATTTATTACCAAACATTTTTCTCATGAATAGTGTTGGAGATCAAAAATAAGATGAAATAAGCTTGAAGTATCTGCACATGTCAGCAAACCTGACTGTTATTGTTTTAGGATAAGTGGCAGCACTCCAATGGCCGCCCCGTGAGCCGGGAGGAGCTGATGATGACGCTGGCCAACCTGGACAGCATCAGCATCCGCACCATCTACGACAACCACATGGTCAGCGTGGCAATCAGTGACATCGTCATGGATACCACCACTGTGGAGTTCAGCATTCTGGGTCATGCCAAGGATGTTGAAGAGTGCAGGTCAGAAAAAGGAAAAAAAAACAAAAAAAAAAAACATTTAATGTCCCTGGTTCAATTCCAGCCAAGGACCTTTGTTGTTTGTCTTTTCCTTCTCTTTCTTTGTGTGTAACTTTTTAGTAAGTATTCTGGTTGTGCCTCATTCAGCTGTTTTTTTATTTACATACAAGACAGTAATTTGTGGTGTTTTAATTTGACTCGTCATCGTCTCTATTGAAACTAAGTGCTCGATTTGTCACTCCCAGATGTCCTCCTGGATATTCAGGCCTGTCCTGCGAGATGTGCTCCTCTGGTTTCGAGCGTGTCCCTGGTGGCTCCTATCTCGGCACCTGCGCTGGTTGCAACTGTAATGGTCATGCGAGCGCCTGTGATCCAATCAGCGGACACTGTCTGGTAATAACAAGAACATCTGTTGATCACATGTGATAAAATGGAATTCACAGATAAAGCACACCTCACTTCTTTAATGTCAAATATGATAATAGATGTTAAAAAGAAATAAGTTGAGAAGATCACTCTTGATATCTAGGGATTAGCTTGGTTCAGAATAAAACATAGAAACAGGAAAACATCCTCTAAAAAGAAAAGCTCACCAATTACCATGTTGCATTTTGTTTGTTTACTGCAGTTCGTTCACGAATAGAAGTGTAAAAATAAAATGTTGCGGCTGGAACATGAAGTCACTACGCTGAGCCAAAAATTCCCTGCAAAACCCTAACTTGTTGTTTTGTGCACAGATTAAACACATGAGATGAATAGTGTAAATTTGTTAAATTTAAATGTGCTGGTAATCGTCACTTCAGAGCCAGGCTAGCTGCTTCCACTCTTTATGCTAAGCTAAACCATTCCACTCCTGTATCTAGCGTAGGAACATGAGAGGTGAAGATTTTTTTATTTAACTTGTGGCAAGAAAGTGTTTTTTTACTACTCTGAGGGGTGTCCATGTCAGAGAATGAGCTTCGTGTTCTCCCCTCCACAGAGCTGCCAGCACAACACAGAGGGCCCTCAGTGTGACAAGTGTCGCCCCAGTTACTTTGGTGACCCGAGCCGAGGTCGCCCCGATGACTGCAAGCCCTGCCCCTGCCCGTACTATGAGACCTCACGCCGGTAAGGTCACGCATCCAGCCAGACCACACGCACACACACACACACACACACATGCACAGAAACACATCTCCAGTACAAATACACACACATTAACACCCACATGGCGTCATTGGGAGTTGGGCTGCTTTGCCCTTCAGTTTCTTATTTCCCATAGCTGAGCTCATTCAGATATTTGAGAGCTGATTTATTCATTCAGCGTGCTGCTGTAAATTTTCATCCTGGGCTCTGTGGTTGGGTTTTGTAGTTTCTCTGACACCTGCTTCCTGGACTTCGACCAACAGCCGACGTGTGATGCCTGCAGGCCCGGCTACACAGGAAGACGCTGTGAAAAGTGAGCAAACTGATATTGTTAACTGTGCCTTCAGATTGCGGTTTAAATAGTTTGAAGTTGGTGGTGATGTGATTCATAAGAAATGACATCAGTCTATAATGATCGGTGGTAATAATTAATGACTGTAACAAGCAAAACAAGCTATAACTGACGCTTGTGGTAAATAGATCAATCGTGTCTCATATTTCTGTCATATTTCAGGTGTGCTCCTGGTTACCAGGGTAACCCCCTCCTGCCTAATGGAAAATGTGTTCCTAACCGTGAGTACATGTTCAACTCCAGGCATGAAATTGAAATAAGCTTCACCTGGGTTGCTTTACCTGTTGTACACTTCAGTCATCCCAGCAATATGACCATGAGGAGGTTTTAACCCTGTGTAATGATTACCATCAGCCCCCCCCCCCCCTTTCATCCGGTGTTACAAGTAGGCTGTAAGTATGTTGGTCATGGCTCAGGTATGCAGAGTGGCTGGAACACTTCGAGCTTCACTTTCCTCCCTCCCCATGTCATCTTCTTTCCACTGCTCTGTCCCTGCAGAAAGCTCCAAGTGCGATAACAGAGGAACCATCAGCTCCAGCAGCAGGCCGTGCAGCTGCAAGGTAAACATGCAAAGTGATAATATTATAAGCAGCTATTGTTAAATCTGCTTTTCATTTGTGTGTTTTTTTTCTGCTGTCATCTTTTATGAAAGAAATGAGTTTGACAGGCAGATGGATTACACATGTCCACGTTTGTGTGTGTGTGTGTGTGTGTGTGTGTGTGTGTTTGTGTTGCAGAACAACGTGGCAGGCGCTCTGTGTGACGAGTGTAAGGCCGGGTTCTTCCACCTCTCAGAGGCCAACCCCGAGGGCTGTCTACGTTGTTTCTGCATGGGCGTCACCAAACAGTGCGCCAGCTCCACTTGGAATAGGGATCAGGTTGGTTGCCAAGCTATGAATGATTACGGGAGGGGTGAATATTTTTGGTATCAAGGTTTTGACTGTGTTTGTGCAGCTTTGCTTTATCAGCAAATCCTTTCAGACACTAAACGGTGAGATGCAATGTGCAAACAGTCACTGCGCTGAAGTAAATCTCAGTTCACATCTCAAGTCTGGCAACTTTATTTGTGTCTCAGGTGCGAGGAGGGGTGAACGGGCAGCTCTTCTCCCTCTCCAACAGCGCCAACACTAAAACTATCTCTGAAGGCATCTCCCAGAGGGGTTCCTCTGAAGTTGTCTACCGCTCCTTCTCCAGCGTCCCCAATGACATCTACTACTGGGTTCTGCCTGAGAGCTTCAGAGGAGATAAGGTGAGAGAAAACAACAAAGTAAAGAGCAGGAAAGGGGATGTGAAAGAAATAACTCCTAAGTGTTAGTCAAGCTAGATTTCTCTGCCCTGTCTGTCCCACTCAGTCATGCCTCAACATGTTGTCAAATGAAAAGGCTGCACTTACCCACACAGTGAGAGCCGCCCTTTTGAACCTCTTGCTTGGATTCACAGTGAAGCCCAACATGGGTGTCTTATGACTCCCCCCCCCCACACACACACACTATCATAGGGGTGAAATACCTTTCCACTATTCAGTTTTGTTGAGATATGCTTCTCTTTTCACCATGTTGCGTACCAGGTGACGGCCTATGGCGGGGAGCTTCGCTATACGGTGCAATTTACACCCTTTCAGCGCTCGCTGGTGATTGACGGGAAGCCAGATGTGGTTCTCCAGGGCAACGGCATCTTCCTGGAACACTATTCCCAAACCAAGCCCCTCCCACGTGTCCGACAAACCGTCACTGTGACCTTTAGAGAGGTGGGTTTCATTGATGGTGACTTCTACCTAAGTCCAATTCCTCAAAGAATGTCAACAAACTAACTTCTCTCTTTTCTCTGGCTGACAGTCTTCGTGGCGTCGCAGCGATGGGCAGCCGTGTACCCGTGAGCATTTGCTTATGGCTCTGGCTGATGTTACCGTTTTCATGATCAGGGCAACCTACACAGACAACATGGACGAGAGCAGGTATGGTGGGAGTTTCTTCTGACAGCACATTCACATTCACACGCCACAAAATGAGTCAAAGAGAACTTCATTGAACGGGAAACACAAATTGCTTTTTGTGTTAATTAGTATCTCAGACATCAAGATGGACATTGCTGTTCCTCACTCCACTGGTAATGAACGTGCTCTGGAGGTGGAGGAGTGCGCCTGCCCTCAGGGATACAGAGGACCCTCCTGCCAGGTACCGATTTAACTAAAATATCCACTTGCTAACTCTTTTGGAGCTTTCATCCGCATCTCATGGTTTTTATCAAGAGAGTTGTTGACACTTGCTCAGTTGTCATGGATGGATGTCATCACACAACCCTAACCTAAGTATGGCAACTGTGGCATCTCCATGACATCTGAGCAAAGTCCATCTGCTGATGAAGACCGTGAAATTTGGTCAAAAGCTCAGAAAAATGCTAGTAAGTGGACCTTGAGTCAAATTTGTTTTTTGTCATACTGTTATTCAACTGTTATTCAACTATGAACTTTAATGCCGTTAGTTTAGTGTAATTTAGTTTAACTTAGCTTAGTTTCTTTTAGTTTCCTTTAGTTTAGTTTGAAGAAAAAAAAGAAAAAAAATTGGCAACTATAGTGGTGCCTGAGCTTGTTAAGAACAGCATGGCAGTCTTTTTTTTCCATTACAGTCCATGATGACAATTGCAGTCAGTCTCGCTGCTACTGCAGTGGAACAAAGACTTTGTCAACACATGTCTCTCACCTGAGGTGTTTCTTTCCTTCCCGTTGCAGGAGTGTGATGAAGGTTACACGCGCACCAGCTCTGGCCTCTACCTGGGCACTTGTGAGAGGTGCGACTGCAATGGTCACGCCAGCAGCTGCGACCCAGAGACCGGCAGGTGTCTGGTAGGTCTCATGCTACTCTTCCTCTCTCTCTCACTTCTTTGCCAGCGTCGAACATGCTTTAATCTCTGCTGTGGAATGCACTAATGGTTTCGTGGCGATTTCCAACATGTGGAAACAGACTGACACTTTTTAAAGTAGTGTATATTCAACTGTTCCATGGATCTCACCTATTTGTCTTCTTCTTCTTTATGTGTGTGTGTGCTGACCAAAAGCAATGTCTCCACAACACTGCTGGGCCAAGGTGTGAACGCTGTCAGCCTGGTTTCTATGGAAACCCTGTAACAGGCGGTGCTCAGGCCTGTCAGCCCTGCCCATGTCCTGGAACCACATCCAGCAACCAGTGAGTTCATGTCTAAAAGTCTTTTAAAGTCAGTTTGAATCAGTTTTATTGAGTCAGTGCAGATTACCTATTGAAAAACTATTCAGTTAACTGCTACATTAGGTAAAGTAAACTGTGTGCAACACAAAGGCATCATAATAACCAGAGACCAAACTGTATATGAAACCTCATGGTGTGTGTGTGGACCTCTTGTCGCCACAGATTCTCCCCGACTTGTTATCTGGAGTCTGATGGTCAGCCGACCTGTGACAGCTGTCCCCCCGGATACAGTGGCCGTCGCTGTGAAAGGTACAGCCCTACCCCTCTCCTTCTCTTTCTGCTTTTCCTTTTCCCGCTCTGTCTTCCTCTCAGGCTCGTCTTGACCCTGCTCAGTGTTTTGGGGGGTTACCGAGCGGGTCGGCAGCAAGGTTAGCGGCGGAGGGGCTGGCACTGGCACCCACTGGTTTCACTCACAGGAAAGGGATATAAGCATGTCTGTGGTTCGCATCTCTCTTGTTTTTCCAAGGCAGTTGTGATTGAGCGGTGTCACTGGAGGGATGGGAGATGCAAATCGTTGCCACCCATTCTGATGTACACGTGAAGTTTCGTACTGTGTCTTGCTGTTGGATATTGTTTTCTACTGTGGTAGGACAAAGTATATTTGTTATAGGATAAGGGGCCTTTTAGTGGTGCTGAGAATATTGTCACTCTGATTTTATTGTTTGTGAAAAAGAAATAAGGTTTCCTGAGGACATTCAGCACTGTTATTTCTACTTGAGTTTAGTCAGCTTTATGTCTCCCTTTTGCTTTTCTTCTGTCATTTGCTTTAACTCCAAAAGCCTCCTCGGCGATTGCTTTCTTCTTCAGCTTTGCGCTTTGCTGGTAGTGAATTTTTAAGGTGTTGGCTCGTGTGATTTCTGTCTGTGCAGAGACCAAAAGTATTTTCTGGGTCTCTACAACATAAATGTAGATGTGGCATTTATGAGGACTCCTGTCTGGCTAATGAATCTTTGCCGCTCCAAGGGCAAAGATGACGAGGTGACTTGGGTGCAAGACACAACTCATAAATAATTTATTATTGAAACGTCTCTGCCTACATCATACCTGATTCTGCTGTTTTGACATTAAGAGAAGAGATGCCCTCTGCAGACAGTTGTGGGGACCCCTTCCTGGAGAAGCAGATAGAGGGCTTCCTACCTGTGGGATGTGGAGCTGAAGCAGTGTTTAATTTCAGCTGGGAGAAAGAGATAACACCGTACGGCAGTGGAGATGATGATGTTACCACTTTAGCAACAACTGTCATCCCTAATAGATCTTTACTGTCTACTGCAGCTGGCCACCGCACTAGCCAGTCCACTAAAGCAACAGGGGTGGGCATTGTCTCGGTCACTCCCAGCAGATTGTCATCAAGACTCCCACCACGTTTCACACCCAGCCCAGAGAGCAGACACTCCAGCTTCCAGCACCTGCTCCGGATTCACCTGAACACCTTTAACCAGCGCCTGAGCATGCTAGAAGGCAACACGCTGGATATGAAGGAGAGCATTCGTAGCATGGAGGACCAGCAGAGTCATCTCAGCTCCCAGCTGAAGGAGCTCATCGCTATCCACTCGGCCGGGGAGAAGAACAAGAAGGTTAACGAGCTGGAGAAGAGCTACACAGACATGGAGGCCCGTATGAGCAGACTAGAGGGGAGGCTAGAAATCCTGATCGACGGCTTCACCGCCCTGGCTCAGGAGATGAACAAGATGAAACGTGCAAGACACACCTCCCGCTCGCTTCAAGAAAGGAGGATTCTGCCTCCACTCACAACAGTCATCACAGTCCCGTTGTACTCAACAACTCAGCCTCCAGTTAGAGTTATACCCACAGAAACACCACTCACCAGTAGAGCTACGGTGCCGAAAAGCATACCTACCCCAGGCCTTCCTACAAACAAACCCACCTCTGCTCCTCAGAGAGGTAGAAAACTCAAACCAGCAGCGACTGCTAAGCCAGATAAAAATACTACAAAGCCCCACTCAGTCACTAGGTCATCCAAAAGGCAAGTCTCAACAAGTTCTGCAACAAAGTTAAAGACGACCTTGAGTAAACCAAGGACTGCATCTAAAATTAAATCTAAAACTACACTGAAGCCCGAAACGAAAAGGCCAGAGGGTAGGAGGTTCGCTGTGACGGCTAAACATGTTTCACAGCCAAGCCAAGCAAGACCAAAGCAAGTCAAAGAAGAGGCAACGGTCACTAAATTTCAACTAGAGCCACCATCTCACAAATCAAAGTCTGCTAGAAACCCTCAGCTGCATAAACAACCTGACCAGGCCAACAAAAGGGATTCTGCACTACCTATTAAAAACAATGGGCGTAACAAGGTGTTTAGATCGGATGCACCAGTTCCACCGACGGTTCAGGAGGGCGGGAAGTCTTCAGAAGGTGATTCAAAAAAGTCGGCAAAGCCACACAAGGACAACTTCAACCAACATGAGAAAAAGACAGGGCGCAACTCGTACAAGTTGGTCTCTCACAAAACGAAGAATTCCACCACAACCACAAAGCCTACGAAAGCTACTACTACAAAGAAGCCTAAAACAACAGTAAAACGGACGACGACTCCTAAAACCAAGGTCACAACTGGGAAGAAGAAGTTTACCACAACAGCGAAAAGGACATCAAGTCCCTCTAAAACCAAGGCTACTACTGCAAAGAAAGTAACTAAAAAGCCCCAGCAGAAAAAGAAGACTAACCTTCATTCTGGTGTTTTGGACCTACTGAGACTGTTACAAGGAGAAAAGTCTGCAAAGCACAAAAAGAATAAAGATGGTTCTCTTCATGTTGTCCTGGGAAGGCTGGCCATTCCTATCAGAATAATCCCTGATGACTAGGGAATTCGTTATTTTATTTTTTATTTTCTCCATTGTTTATATCACTAGGCTCTGATCCTGATATTTATACTGCTACCACGACAATGGAACTTTATGAAGGGACTAATTTTATAGCGCTGTTTTATTGCAGAGGGACCTTCCAGATGTTTAATGTCATTCTGATGTGTTCATCTTATTATTTTAGTACTATCGGCTTTAAAGGTGTATTTTATGACAGAACTATTGCACAAAACCCTGCTATGAAGAGATAGCTTAGCATTAGTACCTCTCATGTGTATACATTTGTCCATGTTATGGCCAGACTACCTCAAGTTTTACCCCCAATGCTTTGTTGGAGTGTTTTGAAAATCTCGTGTACATCATGTCTGTTTTTCTCCCTTCATGGGTATGTCTTCAGTATTTGATTCAAATGATACAGTATAGTATACAGTGGAAAAGCCTTACACATGTCACCCTATGGTTTCAGGACAAAATCCCTTATTGTTTGCAACTTATGCACTGCTTTCTATGCTGAGTAATTTAATCAATAAGTCCTAAAAATGTTCTACGTATTTAGGGTGATTTCACCTGTCAGCGTAAAGGTGTGACTGGAGATACAAGATACAATACTGGAACAAAAGTGTTAAGATTCAGTCTAAATGCCAGGTGCTATTTTATTGTCTTATGAAGATTAGTTATCATGCTAAGTTTCGAGGATAAAGAACCAGTAGGTTATAGACAAGAGTAACAATCTCCCACCATGCTAGTGGCCCTGAAAAATATCAACCTTATGTTATTCATAGATTTTTTAAATGAGGCTAAACTTATAGTTTAGCTATGCTAGTAATATTGCTCTGGGGATGGTTATGACCATTTGTCCACCACTTTGGTCCAGAGTGAAATCTCTCTCCAACTATCGAATGGGTCACAATGAACAACATCCATGGCCCCCAGAGGATAAAACCTGTTGACTTTCGTCATGCTCTGACTCATTTAGCATCTCCATGAGGTTGATATTGTGGTTTTGATTGAAATATCCCAGTGATGATTGATATTTTTTAGAGATATTTATGCTCCCCTCAGGATAACTGAGGTAAATGATCTCCTGACTGTTTATCCAGCGCCATCATTAGGTCAAAATTAAACATTTTCTAATATTTTGCTTTATGACCAAATACTGACAAAACTAATGACATAGCCTCAGCTGCACTTTACCATGGTGAACACAGTGAGTGTTCACTTACTCTTATGTTTGTACCTACAAACAAAACACGTTGCAGTTGCCATTGTGGGTGTGTTAGCATGCTAATTTTGCAAATTTCCTTGGCCAGTTAGACTCCGAGGTCTATTGGTAAAAAGTTTACATTTTGGTTTTCATTTTGATGGCAATAGGACTTAATGCTGTGCAGACAAAGGAAGAATAGATTTAATGTAAATCTTCATGTAAGCCTTTTGTTTTAGAAATTTAATGTAGAAAGGTAATTTGGCACAAGGTCCATTTCGTGACCACTATGAAACGGGATCATCCTCTATGGAGCACGAAATTTTTACTACAAATGGTACCGTAAAATTTTGATATACCTTTTGTACGTAATGATATTTTTTGGCCTAATGGTGGCACTAGAAGTAAAAATTAGTGGCACTTGAAAATAACTGGATTCATCCTTTGGGGACCACTGGGTCACTTGTAGTCAGTGTAATCCGGACAGTTGTTGCGACCAAAGCATTGGACGCTTCAACAGACTGACTACCCTATGTTTCTGCAATCAGGGCCAAGGTTTGGTCCATCATATATGATCATATCATCAGCATTTAGAGAAGTGTTAGAAATACATAAACCTAGGTCCCTATCATTTTTAGGAGTAATAAAAATGTAATTTTTTTGTGAAATTGTGTCATTTTATTGTGATGTAAGACAACTTTGTTTGTCATTTTATGCTTATTATGAGCAGTATGTCCTTTCATAATAGTATTTGGTACTGAACACTTTTAGCATTTTCAAGACCATATCTATTTTGACATATTTTCTATTTTTCCATGTAATGAAAATTATTCTTATCTTTAAATGTATAAACCCACACACGGACTGGAAGGACTGTGTTAACCACACCATAGAAACTACTGTATGTCTCAGAAGTTAGTTTGAATAGGATTTCCCAAAGCAAGTTCATATCATGGATGTCCTCTTTGTTGGCCGTTGACCTGCGGACCTGAACAGGTAAGGTAAGGCCCACAGCAGCTGCCCTCAGGGCTGCCTGCACAGATCTGTGGTTGGATTAGCCTTTGCTCTGGTGGCAGTGGCGTTGTTTGCTTGGGTAGAAGGCATATTGCTTTGCTAATGTCACAAACTCCGAAGTAACTTTCCTCTTCAGCAGCTTAGCATCTTGACCTGTGGCTCTTTGTTTCAGCTACATTCACTTCTGCTTCGTTCTGTTGTCATCTCTCTGTTTGTGAAGCTTTTTATTTTAACTTTCTTTCTTTTTTTTTCTTTTTTTTTTTTTTTTTAATCTGGTGATATTTTCTCATTCTCTGTTAATGCCAATTTTTCGTGAACTCGTACTCGCGAGAGATGGAATCAACATCTGAGACATGTTGAATGTTTTAGCAGCAGCTACGCTTCATCCATCTCCAGTGCAAGCAACGTTTCATTATCTATTTCTCCGGGAAAACTCTTTGTATTCATTACAAAAGCTGGGTGTCTGTGATTTTTTTATTTTTTTATTTTTAGGTAATATGAATATAAGACCAGTCTTTGGTGTGGATATGTGTACTTCCTGGATGGAATAGCTTGTATGTTCCTTGTCTGAATGACTCAGTCCTTTGTTCCTGGTTGAGGTCCACCTTGGGTCATAAAGACTCCCTAAACGACGCAGTTCATCAGATGTATCACCTTTTGCAGACTTCCCAGCTTCCTGCCTCATTGTTCTTGAGGTTAAAACTTGTATCCTCCTTGAGTGGAAACATTTACTCAAACACATTGTCTATTTTTATTTCAGATGTGCTGCAGGATACACTGGCAACCCACAGCTGGGACAGAGATGTACTGTTGGCAACAATGAAGTCAATGGTACATTTTGTCTTCTGGTCCTTGAAAATGACTTATTCTTTCTCTTAACAATAGTTGCAAAGAGTCCCTTTCATTAAACAGTGTTTCAGTGCTGCTTCAGTAGAGAGTTGGTACATACTGAATACCATCTGCTCTGTTACAGGTAACTGCTACAACTGTGACCAAAGAGGACGTGAGATCTGCAGTGGTGGTGTGTGCCGCTGCAAGGTGACCAAACAAAGACACTTTCTATTCAAGCCATCTCTCGTGTTCAGTCTCCTGGCGTGGACCTTTATTGCCTTGTATCTCATTCTCCTGACACTTCTGTTACAGATGAACGTTGAAGGCTCATCTTGCTCCAGCTGTAAGCCTGGGACCTTCCATCTAAGCCAGGAAAACAAAGATGGCTGCCTGTCCTGTTTCTGCATGGGCGTCACTCAGCAGTGCTCCAGCTCCACTTACTACAGAGACCTGGTAAGGCCTATAATTGCTGCAGGGAGTAAATGCCATAGGGACAGTGCAATGTTATATACTTCAAGAACACATTTAAACCTCTCAACCAAACTAAATGCACGTTTGCACTGGGTAAAGCTGCTACGGAGAGAAGACATGAGTGGGCTAAATTGGGAAGTCTACATCCCAGCCTTAACTGGTTGTAAGCCAATAAGATCACATCAATCAGTGGTGTGACTGATATCTGCCCACGTAAGCAAATACTTCCTACTCTCCCATTTTTAGTGAATAATTGCAAGGATAACTTTGATTTTTTTTTGTGTGTGTGTCCGCTGTTGCATAAGCACTCCATTGTGGTTAGCTCTCTTTGTTAGATTTACTGCAGAGATACAGTCAGTACATGGAATCCAAACACATATTTTGGCATTACTTCAGTGTCTTTCTAGTAACACAAAGTTTTGATTCTTGAAACTTTTAAAGTGCCATTGACCTTTTATTTGTCCCTGAGAGTCAGGGCGAGTTTAGCAACTGAAGTCTAGTTTATTTTTGCCTTTTCACTCAGCCATGCCCCAAGCCCAGTCCACCTGGACCACCCAACCTTGCAGAATTTGGTTTCTCTCAGTGTTTACCTGAAATCTGCAATATTTGTATATAGTCACTCAGAAAACAGACTCAGAGCCTCTCTTGTGATTGTCTCACCGACCCATTGTTGCTGGAGCTCCAGAGAGAAACTTGAGAGAGGAGATGTGGAACTACATTGAGATGGTTTATGGTTCTTAAAACCACAACTATATACCTTATGGATATCAACACTTTGAATAAAACACAAGAAAAGTGTAAAATATGTAAATATATATTAATTGTATTTTTCAAATGTGCTCTTGCAGGTGTCCTCAGTCTTTTCTCCAGGCAACTTCCAGGGATTTGCTCTGGTGAACCGTCAGCGCACCAACCGCATCTCTACTGGTTTCACGGTGGAGGTTTCCACTGAAGGCACTCAGCTGTCCTACAGCAACTTTGACTACCTGGGACAGGAGCCTCACTACTGGCAGCTCCCAGGGGTCTACCAGGGAGACAAGGTCAGTATCAAAGAGCACATCTTACAGCAGCCAAATCAGTGGAGGCAGCCAAAGCAAGACCACAAGCCCCATCGTTGCTGTACATGAGGGGCTGAGCAGCACTCATCTGAAACTTGTAGACCCCTCTTATTCTATTACTGTCTCCATTTTGCTTCTTTTTTCGTACTTCAAACCTCAGCCAATCTTTCTTTTCTAGCAAATTTGTGCAGATTCTGCCTCTGTGTGCAACCTCTATGCCTCCATTTCTTTTAAATCTGTTTTCACAGGACAAAATGTTGTGCATACATTTACAGGCCCGAAAGTTCACTTACATAACATAGCTTTTTTTCTGTGTGTGTGTGTGTTTGCCCCTTTCACTCTTTATAGAAAGATTCTTTATTTACTCGCACGAGACGAGGAAAACAGGTACAGTAATGTCAGGCAGTGGTTGCCGTGCTGTGACTGTAGTTTGGCCATGTGAAATCTAATGTTTTTTTTTTTTTTTGTACAGTGTTGTCTGGCATGTTTTGAAGTAATAGCTGATGTGGCATTTTTAATATACTGAATTCCATATTTTTATGTTATGTGCATATCAGTGCATTATGGATGCACATCATTGTTTTACGGTTTTAATCAGTTTGTCATGTTGACTGAGTTTATTGTGAGAAGCATGATATTTTTACAGCAGTTTTTGCAGCTGAAGGTGACCACTAAGTGTCTCTTCGATTTGAGTACTTGCGTTGTCACGGTGTGTTTTGCACACATAAATTGCTTTCTGCTCCACATCACATGAGCCCTGTAAATGGATTGATCATTAATGGTCCATTAAAGAGCTTCATACAGTTTAACTTTGCTCGGATAACACTGCCATAACATTCCCGAATACCATCAGCTCAGTGATAAGGAAAGTGATCAAAGAGCGTTTGCTTTATCTACATCAATAGAGTGACTCCAACTTGCCAGAGGAGCGGCTAAGGAAGGATGCTTCCATTTGGAGCCTGATGGCCTCAGAACGTAAAGACGCCCACAGATCAAAAAGAGCTAGCCAGGTATTTTGTTTGAACTGCACCGTATAGACTATTGCAGTGAAGGCAACAGCACTCGCACGCCTAATCAGAATAACTGAGGTTTCTGTCATTATGAGCTAACGCACTGAGAGTTTGTGGACATCTATGGAAGGGAATTCCCCGTGGTTCATAGATGTAGCAGCATGGAGGATCACGTCGGTTTGATGAAGGTGTTGCTGAGCAGGTCGCATGTTGTCAGATGTGACTGCGTGTGCATGTGTGTGAGTTACAAAGATCTGAGTTGGCATGCAGAGTCAAGTTTCAGGAAAGTTTCTAAAGCGCAAGAAGTTTTTTGATTGAAGTGTTTTTTTATAGGTGTTATCCCACAATTCACCAGAGCCTAAAAGCATTCATCTAATTTACAGTAAACAGGTTACTACAGTGAATGTACACGTGTTTTTCAATTACCTGCGTGACCTGGTTTCTCTGAGTAACCTGGTTACTTCAGCGCATGTAAACGTACTGATTGCTCCAAGCATCATAGACTCGGACTGAAAAGCATGAGTCAGCATGTCCACCTTTTTACAGTGATGCACAGCAGTGTACATCATGAAGAACTAAATTCTTAAACCCCAGTCTCCGTCATCTTTGACTGTTCCCATGGTTACTGTATCTCCGGTACCCCATTCTCCGCCTCCCTAGGGTGATGTCAGAAAGCTGGATGATGAGGTCTGGGCGCTCTTCTCTAACTTCTCCAATGGACGAGCTGGTTCCCCTCCATTTTTTCCCTCCTCCTTCTCTAAATCCTCCTCCTCTTTCTCGTCCTCTTCTTCTTCTTCTTCCTCCTCTTCTCGAGTCCCCACTCCCTCTTCCTCCTCTTCATCCTCTCGATGGTCTTTACGTAACCTGAGCGCCCCTTCTCCTCCGTCTGGTATCTCCTCTTCAGTTAGGCCAACCAGACCCCAACCCTACTCCCCAGGCCACTCTCCTCATCTGCAGGTACCCTCTGTCAGAGATTTTTATGAAAGGTTCACGGATTGTTTATGAGCCTTTTTTTTTTTTTTTTTTTTCTGGTTCTTGCTCATATTGGTGGTGACGTCTTGTGTTTCTTTTTGGGGTCTGGCTCTGCTGCGGATCAACAGAGCAAGAACAGAGTGAGCAAGACTTCTGCTCGCGCTTCTACGGACAGCAGCAAGGTAGACAGTAGCATGACCGAGTGACTGACTCAGTCTTGGCGTACACACATAGGAAACTTCCATGCTGCCTTTGATAGAAAAGCTTTAAAAGTTAATCAACAACAGATTGTCCTCTGTTTGTTTCGGGTAGTTAATGTTTTGTTCAGAGACTCGTAACAGTACCTGACAAACTTAGATAAGACTGAAGTACTGAAGTAATGCAGAACAGTTTTAATTCATAGTTATGGGTCGTTCACTTAATTCCAGTTATCGACTGGGTGGTATTTTCCTTTGTTAAGCAAATACCCCCCCCCCCCCCCCCCCCCCCCTCACTCTGTGCTGTCACTGTAATTGACCACTTGAGAGTAGCATTGGTTTTACAGTGGTCTGTCATTATACTGTTGTCTGCTTTAAAACTTAAGCTGTCATTTTCACATTATTGACAGTGGAAGTTGTTGTTAAAGTTGTCAGACAAAAGCGCAGCACAACTTCAAACGCTGTTATCAAACTGTCAGCCTGAGTCTTAAATAGCACTTGTACTAGAGAGCATGTACTTAGAAGAGTTTAGCTGTTTGCCACACACATTTGTCCTGAGAGTCTTGTCGGGCTTTACTCTTCTCCATGCTTGCCTGCTTGTACTGCTTCTCTGCCTGCTTATGTTTGTCTCGCTGCCTCTCTCTCTTTCTGTCTCTCTCCCTCTGTGGCTCATTCTCTTGTGCTTCTCCTTCCTCCTTTGCCTCTCTCAGTACGCTCTGGTCTACAAAGGTTTCAGCTTGCACCAGGATGATCTGCTCTACTGGCAGCTCCCAGCGCTGTTCACGGGGGATAAGGTAACTTGTGCTTGAAGCCCCCCCCCCCCGACCCCTGGTCAACCCTTGGAGGTCACAGAAAAAACGTACCTTTAACGCACCACCCCTCAGTCATCATCACACTCCCTTCCCTTTAGTCCCTCACCTGTCCACATTCCCTGTGCCCTTTAACTTTGTCCCAGCCCTCCCTCCTCGGTCCTCTTGACTTCCTGTACTAAATATAATAATGGGGAAATAATTTTCTTTCACTATAACTCCAACACAATGATAGAGCGTATGACTGTTTTGGTCATGGTTTTCAAACACTTTCTGTAACAAAATATCTAAAAGCAAAAATCTTATCAAATGGGGGTCTGTGGTCTAATTTGTGTGAAGTGAAAGTGAAAAAGTTTCAGAACCATTGCCTTAATACATGTTTGGTTTTACCTGCTTGGGTTTCTGTAATTTAACATTTAGGTCAAGAAGTGTTCAAAACACATCTGGGTCATTAAAGGCCCCCTCCAGTGATTTATTATTCTGCTTTCATAAAGTTGGGAGACTTAAAAGAGACATAAAAAATTGCCAAAATCAATGCAGCAGAGGCAGATTTCAGATATTATTCAACTGTTTTCGCATGACGAGTAAACTAAACTTCATGTGTGAAATGGGTGGAGTGGCCCTTTTAAGTGCATTTGCCACACTGACATTTAGTGACATTCATGGTAGTATCACAGCAGCCTGTTTACATTATAACTCTCACATTAGAGCCGAACAATTAATCAAAATATTATCAAACTCGCAATATGGCCAAGTGCAATATCCAAATCACAGAAGCTGATAAAGGTAAAATGTTCCACACCAGACCATAAATTAACCATTGTGGTGCTACAGAGAGACCTCGGCCTATAAATCATTTTCTGCAGACCCAACAAAAATCAAATCATGATTTTTATATTTTTTCTCAGTGTAAATGAAATGCAAAAATCAGCATTCCAACTGAAATTGTGGCTCATATTGCAATCATGAATAATTGCAAATGATTTTTTTTTCTTTTTGATTTTTTTTTGTGTATTGTTCAGCCCCATCTCACACGTTCAAAAGAACTTCTTAGTATGCTTCTTCACATCCTTCTTGCGCACAGGATTTGATGTTACAAAACAGCCTGTGTCGCTCTGTGTTTTTGTTTCATCACGGGAACTGCAGCTGTGTTTGACCTGGCGAGAGATCTAAAGCCTCTTCCTTTGCTTCACCCTGCCTTAGGTGGGTTCTTACGGAGGTAAACTCAAATACACCGTCTCCTACGTGGCTGGTCCAAGAGGAACGCTGCTCGACGATGCTGACGTGCAGATTATTGTGAGTATGCTGACTCGCTTGTTTTCCTCTCGTGGTCACGTGTGTTTGTAGCGTTTGCTCACCTGTCGCTGTTGCTCCCGCAGGGTAACGACATCACTCTGGTGGCTCGTCAGTCCTGGCAGAGGAGGCAGCAGGGCAGCAGAGAGACTCACCGGTTTGAGATTGTCTTCAGAGAGGTGAGCGGCTCAGGGCTGCAGAGTAACATAGACAACAGGAAGTGTTATCAGGAAGCATATTGTATGAGAATAGATGAGAATAGCCATTGTCTTTTTGGTTCATAGGAAAACTGGCGCCGTCCGGATGGCATGCCTGCAACCCGTGAGCACCTGATGATGGTTTTGGCTGATCTGGATGATATCCTCATCCGAGCATCCTACTCTACCGAGATGCGATCCTCCAGCATCTCTGATATCAACATGGAAGTCGCTGTGCCCAACTACAGCGGCTTGGCGCAGGCCCTCGAGGTAGAGCAGTGTCGCTGCCCACCTGGATACCAGGGACTCTCTTGCCAGGTAATTCATCATCTTTTCTGAATTGCTGACTTTAGCAGAAGCAATCCAAGCTGATTTTGCCTCATTAAAATGCTCCCTGATGTATCTGAAATCATAATGTCTATTTTAGGACTGCGCCCCTGGATATACTCGCACTGGAGGAGGTTTATACCTGGGTCACTGTGAGCTCTGTGAATGTAACGGCCACTCTGACTCCTGCCATCCGGAGACTGGCATTTGCACGGTACAACACAGTGTAGATTACTGTATTATATCACCCTGATGAGACGGACAAATCTCTAAACAATGATGTATTTCACCTTCCAGAGCTGCCTGCATAACACTCAGGGCGAGCTCTGTGAGCAGTGCGCCCCTGGTTTCTTCGGCGACCCCACTGTTGGCACTCCAGAGGACTGCCAGCCCTGCGCCTGCCCCCACACTGACCCTGACAACCAGTGAGTACTGGCACAGATAACAAGACCTCGCATTCCACCTCCATTTTTAGCTCAAGACAAGTCTGTGTCCGGCTCACTTGCTCTTGTTCACAGCAAATTCCATTGTCTTGTAAATTCAGGAGTTTGATTCGTTTCAATTATTTTAACCTGTTTTCTGCCAACTAGCACCAAATATTGCATATTCACTCTCCTGCTCAAGTCATCTGATTCTGTATCCTAGCATTTCAACAGATCAGGGTCAGTGGGGATACAAAATCTTGCCAAGTGCAAGTAAAAAAATTGAAGTATATTGAAGAAATCTTTTAGTGAAATATGAGAATCTCAGCTGCTTCCTGTGCAAATCCACTTGTGTTTTGATCAAGGGTCACATTCTGGTTCCCCTGCTATAATCTGCCTTGCAAAAGATGAATGTGACACTAAATGACTTGGTAATAGGTTCAGCAGGGAATCCGTTGATACTGAACCTAGAATTTAGCTTCTTGCCTGTGTGTGTTCAACTCATGTAACAGGTTCTCCCCTACATGTGAGAGCCTTGGAAATGGAGGCTACCAGTGCACTGCCTGTCAGCCTGGCTACACCGGCCAGTACTGTGAGCGGTGAGATAACCCGGCACTTTCTCTCGATGTTAATGGAATAGTTTCAAGTGGTTGATTTTTGATGAACAGCACTTATTAGGGTACACTGTGGTTAAATTTCCTTTCTATGTTTTTACCATCATCAGTTGTGCTACTGGTTATGTTGGCAACCCACAGGAGAGAGAGAAGTGTCGCCCATACGATGGTAAGGCTACATTTTGTTTTAATAGAAATTTGATTAAACTGTTCTCATATTCAAAAATATACTTACAGTATGTGTGTGCTTGAAATATTTACTGAAGCACAATGAGCTCAAATGAAAAAGACATGAGGGTAGGAGGTCTAGTTTTTTATCAACTTAGACTTCACAGAAGTCACAAGTGAACTGATCTTAACTTCACAGTTTAGATCAGTTCAAGAAGTGTCAGAATATGTAACTTTTTCCATTAAGATGAAGATTTCTTTAGCAGTTAACCACCAGCCAAAAACAAAAGTTGTCATTGAATGGTGTCCACCAAGTTTTGCTTTGTAAAACACATATAAGATGTCTAGTTTACTGCCCAAGCTTGCTTTGTGAAATGAATACTCTCAGAGAGCAATCCTGTGAACAATTTCATCACATTTCCAACATGCAAGCTGCATAATTAATCTTTTTATTATTTACTAATTTATCATTTTTATAATCAATACAAAAGCCATATTTGAGGCCCATGCACGAACACGCCAAAACCCTGTAGGACTGGTATGTTTGTTTAAGTGACAAACAGTCATAAAATGTGACATTGCCACTCTCTGCGTGTAAGCAGTGCTCGCAAAATCGCTTTTGTGAAACCGATCCCTGATGAGTTTATGACCTTTGCACTTTGCAGCTGCAGCCTCCCTGGTGGTGAAGGTTTATCCAGAGAGGGTCTTGGCATCCCAGGGTGGCCCTGTCACTCTGCGGTGTCAGGTGTCCGGCTCTCCTCCGCACTACTTCTACTGGTCCAGAGAGGATGGGCGGCCCATCTCCGGCAGTGCGGACAGACGCAGACAAGGTGAGGGACACACTTTAACCACATGGCCTATGATCATACCTTTTATATCTTAGAAATTGAAATATGTTTGCGCTCCATTTTTTGGTTTTAAATACATTTTTAAAGTTCTGATTTCAGTTATCTTAACACATAAATTGCCTATAATTAATATACATACTGTGTGGGACGACATGTGTGCAGGAGCAGAGCTGTACTTCCCCAATGTTCAGCCGAGTGATGCCGGCGTTTACGTTTGCACCTGCCGAGACCAGCGCAGCACCAACAGGAGCCGTGCTGAAATTGTTGTCACAAGTGAGTATGAGTCTCACTTCCATTTTAGCAAATAGGTTTTTTTCCCCTCAAGCTGCTTATTGCAGCACATGAAATGGATACCATCCCTGGTTTAACTCGAGTTTGCTTATGCACGGATTACATACAGTTTAGTTGACTGTGATGTGGTGCATTCTTTGCATCTGGAGCTTTGCAGGTGTTGGGATAACATATGTGCAACAGTGATGGCAAAAAAAAAAGTTTGCGGTTGTAATAAGGTTATTTTAGCTTTTATATTGATTTTGAAATGGTTTCTTATGTTACCACTTATAATTGATCAAATGAAGTTCACTTTCACTTTATTCAATATTGCAATATTCCAACTGTATTTATGAACTATGAGTATAAATGAATTGTCTCTGCATTTCACCAGGTGTCCAATCCAGACCCATTGAGGTGACAATTGAGGAGCCCAAAGCCCAGACTGTCAGGGTGGGGTCTACTGTCAGCTTCATCTGTACTGCAAAGAGCAAGGTAACACTGGTCAATGATGAGTATTATATTACTTCATTTATTTATTTACTTATTTGAAGTTTTACATTTAAAGGAGTAGTGTGACATTTTGACTTTCTTCACAGGATGTTAGATGAGAATATAGATCCCACTCTCATATACTGTATGTGGAGCTACAACCAGCAGCTGGTTAGCTGAGCTTAGCTTAGCTTAGCATAAAGACAAGGAAAAAGAGATGCCAATCGGTGGATTTTGCTTCTTCTGGACAAAGACAGACCACCTGTTTCCTCCTGCTTCCAGAAAATTAGAGTGTTATTTTTCTCCCATTGCATGCATCTTATGATTCTCCTGCATCTGTCTGCTCACCCTCCCACAGTCACCAGCCTACACCCTGGTTTGGACCCGAATGGGTAACGGGAAACTTCCCAACCGTGCCATGGACTTCAACGGCATCCTGACGATCCAGAATGTCCAGCCCGAGGACGCTGGCGTCTACGTTTGCACGGGCTCCAACATGTTTGCTATGGACGAGGGCAGCGCCATCCTCTACGTGCCAGGTTCGTGATCCTCGGCACTGCATTCCATTCACTCATCACCCCCCCTGCCACCCTACCACTACCAGCTCTGGCTCCTGTAGTTTCCCACCTTAAACTTGAGTCCCCGCCCCCACCCCCACCATCCGCCACCCCTCCCTCCAGCTTGGAATGATGCATGCTTTTCTGTTTGACTGCACTGTAAACACTTAGCTCTGGGTTAACAGCATAATAAGCTTACAGTTCTAACTCCCAATGCTTTTTGGCCTCTGCTGTCAGATACCAACATATAAGCCATGTCTTATTATCATACTGCTCTTCTTACTGCCTTTATTTAACTCGCTCTGATCGATGGATTTTTCTGTGCTTCATATGAAGAAATACAGCTTGTGGGTCTGGTTATAAACTAAAACTGGAGACTACAAATCTCCCAGATAACATATGGGGTTAAGTGTGGAGTTTTAGATTGAAACTAATGGGCACTCTGTGTCATGACACATCCTCTAGACTTGTGACAAATAAGCACTCTTTCGGATCAGTGATTTGTGGGGAACGCTTTCTGACGCCAACGCTCTACTGAATTTACTGCTTTTTTTAAAAAAAGTTTTTATTTTTTATTCTTTCCTCTTTTTCACATTGGTTGAATTAATCGGTGGTGGTTTGGTTGCTTCTCGATTACTGATAGAGTCGCTGTTTGCTGCTTTTTTAAGAGGTTTTACTAGCAGGGTGCTCGATACTGGTGTCTGTCTTTAACTCTGGGCTCATGGTGCCCCCCACCCCCTCCCTCCCATGCCTGAGCTGTAGCGTGTAATGATGAGGAGGAATGTGGATGCCACGACGGGTGCTTAGTGACTCTGCGACTGACATTCAAAGAGGACTTCAGTGTATTCTGGAAGAGAGAAGTAGGAGGAAACCCACTTTTTTTGTGTTGTTCCACTCGATACATTATTCCTTCCTGACATTACCGTCTGCTGTGTTACTCTCTTAATCGTCTCGTTGATGAACGATGAAAAAATGGTGCTATTAGCCATGCAGTCGGTTAAACCTGTATTTGAATTGCTGTTGTACTGCTGTAATACCACTCCTTCATTCCTTTAGTGTCGGCAGAAGTCGGTCCAGTTTCTATCGATTGTTGCTTGTCAGATTTAGTTGGTAAAATATTTAAGAGCTGACTCTTAAAGGGAAAAAAAAGAAGTTTTTTTTAATCCTAATTATGTCAGTAATCAGCTACAATTGTAATATCATGGTCTTTTTATTTACATCCTGTCAATTCTGTTGCCACATTTTGCTTTTTTTTTTTTTTTTTTTTTTATGAATTGACTGAAATATGTTATCCTGAAATGTTTCCATGAAATCAAATATATCAGAAATGTTAGAATTTCTTTTCTTTTTTTTTCAAGGGAATTGGCCATGTGAATGCAATGACTTTGCATGATGTGTGTTTACATTAAGGCAATCTCAAATGTTTTATAAGAAAATATTTTTATATATCTCTTACACCTCAAAAAAATCACAGGTCACATGTTAAATCTTTTTTTTGACATCTGGTCTTCGGGTGCTTTACCATGACTCTGTTGTTTTTTTTTTATTTGTTTATTCTTATTGACTCAAAGGCTATATGATTGCAAATATAACCAAAGGTGCTTCTGTCAAGATTTTACTCATTTTCAAAGTGTTTCTTTTTAAAGGACACCTAACTGATGTAATGTACACGTCACATTGTAATGTATTTATCTTAACTGTGAAAATATTTTGTGAAAAGGAGACAATTGATTAAAGTAATGACACTAGTTCACACTGATTTGCAAAATTTATGGATGGGGCTTATCATCATATGTTATTTTAATCAGTTGAGGATAACCACAAGCTGTATGTCAGCTGAAATAATAAAACTAGTGTTTCAGTGTTTAAAATTGCTTCTTGCTACTAACCTGCATGTCTCATGTGTGGCTATTCTGCTTACCCTCATCTCCCCTTTTTGCTGCCTGTACAGTTCTCATGCACCGTGTGTGTGTGTGTGTGTGTGTGTGTGTGTGTGTGTGTGCGTGTGTGTGTGTGTGTGTGTGTGTGTGTTTGTGCATAATGTGTATCTTGATTTTGAATTCACAGCATAAGGGGCATTTTGGAGCATTGTTGTGTTTTGTTTTCAGTTGATGTTGAGTGCAACATAACCATTAAATGTTACAAACATTATGGTCATTCTAACCAGCACACTTCAGTGCATATGTCAATAATCAATAAATATATCAGGTAAGTGTGAAAATTAAACTGAATGCATGTAACTATGAATTAAATGGCACCAACCATCAGGAGCAAAAGAAATCAATGATGAGCTGAAATTGATATAGGAAAAAATAATTAATTCTTGATGTCCAGGTGGAGCCCATTGAATTCAAGTGCATGATTATTTCTTTTGCATGTTTACATCATGTGTGACTTTTTTTTGGACAAAAACCACAGCGGCCCAAGTTTAGAGATGGATTTAAGTGTCTCTGGGGGGAGATGGAAGGTAAACTGCTGTTACCCTGGAGAACTGACCTGTCAGTTTACCTGTTCCCTCCCCCCTTCCCTCCCTCCCTCCCTCCCACATCTCCAGAGGCCTCACAGACTCAGATGTTTTACACAGCCTATGAAATGTTTGAAGGACACAGAAAGCGTAAGTTCCACATGGGCACGGTTTCCTCTCTGCCGGGCTCCACTGGAGAGGCGGACCCGGCCTCTCCCTCTATGTGTCATGCATGCACTTCACCTTCCGCAGCATGGATAGACTGGTGGCCTGGTAGCGCCCATGTACAATCAACCAAGCAGCTCTGAGAAACACACCCTCTACTCACCTTCACACACACGATGGCCCAGAGCATCTGTGTTGTCTAATGTCCTGTCAGTCCGTCATCTTTAGTTGAATCCAGATCTAAAGATGGATATTTGTTTTCAGTATATTATTATATAAGTTATCATGTTCCTGTCCTTGTTAGAGACGAAGCTTATAAGATTGTACATGAGCATTACTGGCTCCCAGCTGGCTCTTCGGGTTCATCGGGGTCCATCACTGCAGGAAAAAGTGCATGTTAATTCTTGCGGGCAGCTCCTTATGAATGTTGAGGCATCTGTCTATTATTGCAAATAGTCCGAACTGTAAAAGTTGCACTTCACAGAGCTCATATTGTAGATGACAAATAATTGAATTATTGATTACTCTGATATTGTAGGAAAATGTCTCTAATTTGGACAAATACGTCAAAAAAGCCTGTTTTTTTCATGAATTAATTTGTTATATAAAAATCTATATGACATAATAAAACTTCACTTTAAGTTGATGGGATTACATTATCCAGCAACCTTCCGTTTTACGTTAGGGAATTTAATCGCTCTTTAACCCATAAAAAGAGACATTTTGTTTCATCTTGCCAAATGATTAAGTCTGGCAGTTATTCCATTATCAGGTGCTAGATGCTTACAGTTTGATTTTGTGTGACAGTGTCTCCACATTCAGAGACAAGAGATGTTCCTTCCTCCTTCTCTTTGCACTCTGCTCTTTACTTCTTCTCCTCTGGAAACATGCTGTCATCTGGGCTTCAAACATCATACTGTGCTTAATACATCCCATCACACCCTTATTACATCATTAGCTGAATGCGGGTAGCAGAACGGTGTCCAATGCGACAGGGCAGTGTTTCAATGAGTCACACAGATGGAATAACACGGTAAATGTGATATTAATAGATGAATGTCGAGCTATTTTTCAAATGTCTTGACTTCATACATAAAAATCATAAAATATACTGTATGTTCCCTCACTGCCTCCAGTGGTATCTAGGCATGAAGGTATTAATTTTATCTGCTCAGGTTTAGAGATATCTCTTTGCTGTCATGCAAACACAATGGAGGTGGATGGAAGTACTTTCTACAAAAGAAATCGTCCCTATAAAACTGCCGACAGTATGAGTAGCATATTATCACAAGTATAACAGTGACCCTGTTTCTGCAGAGACACATTACTGCTCAATTCTCTGCCATGCTAGCAGTGTAGTTCTGTGGAGGTCCCAGGCTAAAATATCTCAACAACTATTGGAAGTATTGCCATTACAATTTGCACTGGCATTTGTGGCCCCCAGAGGATGAACCCTGTCTTTGGTGATCCCCCAACATTTCATTTATTACATTTCAGCAGTGACTCAAAGTTTTCACTTATCTGAAATATCTCAACCCCTACTCAATAGAATGGCATACATTTTGTACAGATGTTCATGGTCGCCAGATGATTTTTCATGAGGATTTTGGTGATCCCCTGACTTTTCCTCTAGGTTTTGAAGGAAATTTATCAACAATTACTGGATGGACAACCATGAAATCTGGCACACACGTTCATGACCGCTTCAGAATGAATAACTTTGTTGATCCCATAATTTTTCATCTAGCACCATCATCGGGTCAAAATTTAAAAATTTTTCCAATACCTTGGTTTATGATGAATGACGTACTATCAGCTTCAGCTCTACTTTGTGTTAAGTGACAGTTAGCATGTTCACATGCTAAATTAAGATGCTGAATATAAACCTACCTGCTAAATATCAACATGTAAGCATTGCTGATCAGATTTAGCTCAAAGTGGAAATTAGTCTTTTTAGTTTAGTTTTTTTTGTATATGTATTATTTTATATTGTTTTCGGCAGTGCAAATTAAATTCTGTTCACCTCCATACCTCCCTACTGAGGTGAAGGCAGTCAGATTTGTCAAAACCTGGACAGATGAAACCAAAAGTATCTGCTTGGTTAGATACCAGCAGAGGTAGTGAATGTGGGTGAATCGACCCTTTCAGTTTCATCACCTGATGCAATCCATCATAGATCCTTACAAAACACATGACAGAGATTCTTCAAAACACCCACAGTATATAATCAAATCATTTCTCGTTCTTAAAGGTTACACGTGTGTTGAGTGTAGACTTTCGGCCATCGTGTCTGTCCCACAGAGGACGATGAAACTGCTCTCTGCCCTGGAGTACTGGTGTTGCTAAGGTCAGAGAGTCACAGCTCGGCCCAGGCTACAACAGCCTCTGAAGTTTTCGGCCTGCTTAGATAGCCTCATGCTCCTCCCTGCCTACTGAAAGAGGCCTTTCTTTTGCTCTGTCACCCTGGGATCATACGGGATTGAATACGAAGTCTAGCAGCCAGCCAAACTGGCGCAGACAGTGGTATGCCCAGAGGCCATGCCAAGGCGTGCCTGCCACATCTCATCTGTTTTGTCTGCTCTGAGGATGTAGACTGCCAAGGGTGACAGTGGGGGCACAGGCAGAGGCCATCACAGTCTAGTCAATTCATTACGCACAGCTTATATATGATGCCCAAGCAGCATTGAGAGTCATGACAAGTTTTCATTACACTCCATCACTTTACCAATAGACCAGTCGGCATTATCACTTTACTTTATCGCTCTGATAAGTCTCTTCTTTGAGCTGCGTTTGACTGTTGTGTCTACTTTTGTAGCTGGTGAGGGGGCCCAACCTGTGGCCACCATTACTCCCTCAGTGCTGAATGTCCAGCAAGGCCAGAGGGCAGAGTTTCGCTGCACAGTAACTGGGAACCCAACCCCCGCCATCGAATGGATCGGTACGACCAGTTTAAACTCCACTTTTGTATAATTTGGTTGAGCTAATATCATATTAATTTGAGTGGACAGTTAGTTTGTTTTAGTTAATCATACTTAAGAAGACTTTTGAGAAGATTCTGGGAAATTCAATTAATTACAAAGTCATAGACATTCATCGGTGTGTGCAAAATTTCTCCTTGAGTGACCAGGTGTAACTGTGATTATTACAGGAGGTCCAGGGAACAGACTGAGTCCCAGAGCGGTAATACGAGGTGGCATACTGACCTTCACAGCAGTGGACCCAGCTGATGAGGGAGAGTACACCTGCAAAGCCCTGAACACTCATGGCGAGCACACAGCGCGGGTTTCCCTCTTTATACAAAGTATGCTCCGTGTTTATGTGTGTGTGTATTTGTGGAGGAATGAATGTGTTTACACACTGACATTGTGGGGACTTGTCCACTTTTTGGGGACACAATCTACATTATTAGGTTTTAGGGTTAAGACTTGGTTTAATGCTAAGGTTAGGTTAAGGTTAGGACAAGGGTTAGGGATAGACATGTAATGGTTATGGTTAAGTTAGGTAGGTTAAGGTAAGTTTTCCCCTTACGTTATGGAAACAGGTGATCGTGGGGACCTCACATATAAGATGAAAACATAACACTTAATAACACAAGATCTTTTTCTAAAAACCATAAAAATCATCTCATCAGAATGAGACTGTCCCACCTATTTTCAATGGATTCTTAGAGGCTCAATGATTTTTTTGAAAAACAACTAGCTTTAAACAACAGAAGCATCTCATGTCACCATTTTTGTAACCTGATCAGGAATTAAATGCTCTCTTTAGCTTATCGTCCTCTTGCTTTAAAGTGACACTATGCAACTTTTGAAAAAAGAACGTTGAATTCATAATAATTAAAACACACACTTAACTCAATTCAATACATTCTTACTTGGTCTGGTATTGTAGTTGGTAGCTTATGATAACTAACATTAGCTAAAGTCTTGTCTGTTTGTACTATTATAACACTACATTTTACCATATCACAGTTAAGCATCTCAAAGTTATGTTTTTTGGGGGTTTTTTTCTGTCAAGCTCAAGATGTTGTGGTGTACATAATATATTTTGTCATTGAATGACCACGATGCACTTTTTGGTCAGAATCTAACCCAAGTGGCCTAGGCACCCAGCCCCAAGTCCAAGTCAGTCCCCAAAATGTTGAAGTCCATGAGGGCGACACCTTGAGGTTGTACTGCCGTGCATCTGGATCACCCACACCGAAGCTCACCTGGCTGAAAAATGGAGGACAAATCCCTCCACAGGTGAGACGTCCCCCGTTGTCTCAGTACCTGAATGGTGACCTAAACGTGGATTGATTTACATATTGCTGTATCTCTACCTTGCACCTCAAGGTGTGTCCGGTGCCGATGGTACTTCATCATACTATGTCAGTTTTTATGACTGTTTCAGCATTTTGACCACTTACCTTTATTTTTTCCCTCCCTTCTGTTTGTCTCCTCCTCCCCTTTTTTTTTTGATCCCACCCTGTTCTGACGTTTACTCAGGCCATTCCCTCTCACGGTTTCCATCAGTTTAAAAGCAACAGTGTCGATGTGTTACAGAGACGTATTGAGGAGCTGCAGGTCTGTCCATCTGTCCGATGTCTGTCTGTCCTGTCTCATAGTTCACATCCATTGTCCTCTACTGACCTCGTCTTCACACATTGTCGACTAAGTGCATGATCAAACGTGTCCTTGATTCACACCTTGTAAACCCTGTTAATTTACATCAGCTGCTCACTAAGTCCCGTTAGAGCTGGTGCCAAATACATTAAAATCATCTAGCTGGGTCTGGTTGACGTCTTGGTGTACTTGCATGCAGTTCTTGTTTTTTATGTTGCGTTTAATTAATGAAGGTGTTCCATAGTCTTTTGTTTTGTTCTGTCCACATCAAAACCATCCCTGACGTGTTTGGGCTCTCAGCACCCAGTTGACCCTCATCATTCCATTGAGTGTATTAACAGGACTAAGTATACAGTAGGTACTGTAGGTATTTCAGACATATTTTTCTCCGTGCCAGGCGCAGCCCTCTGCCCCCACGCCCCAGGGGTTTTTTTTGTGTTAGTCTGGTTTCTGCACGGCCCTCCTCGGCTCGGCAAGGGCTCCGGGGCCTGTTTAGTTCTGCCTCAGAGAGCCACTGCGTTGTGTCAGCCTTTCCCAGGGGGAGCCGGGCTCTGCCGTGCGACCACGCAGAAATTCTGTATGCTCTAGCAAACGGCTTGCTTTGAAAACTCGTCAATGGGTTCAGACACACATTGAGCCAAGGCCCGCCTCAGCCACTGCTCGGTTTAGCCTCCCTCACGGTTGAATGGGCCGGAGCTAAGCAGCTTTGTCCATGGATGCCCCAACACCCCCCGGATACAGTAATCCCTCCCCAGACCCTCCCCTCCTGATTCCCCTCCCCTCTGAGGTGTTTCCAAACTTTATAAAAGCTAATTTTCAGCCTTGTTGGGCCTCTGACTGCCATGTGGAGTAGTATACAAACAAATCAACTTGTTGATTACTCATGGGACAGAAAGACATGAACGTTCTTAAATATGAGTGTTGAAATTGATGCAGGGTTTGGGTTTTTACTGTTTGCTCTGAGGTATTTGATTTGTGGATCTTTTGACTTCTGCGAATCTGGCTAGTGATTAGATTTTGCAGTTAAGATATTCTTTTTTTTTAATGCTTATTGAGTATCTTCTGGCTCAAATCAATGTGTCACAAACTGTCAATTCTAACTTCATTTTTACAATCATCAATCATTAATTCTTTTAGCATAAAGATAATAATAGTGTAGTACATGTAATTATCACAGATCACGATTTATTAACAAATTAAAACCACAACAATCATCATAGAGATGTTGGCACTACTTTGTACAAAGTGAGTTTCACGTGCAAAGTATTGTGCCATAGAAATCATGAACAAAAATCCATTTAGAGAGCTACTGAACTGTAGCAATAACAGCTCTTGTCTTGTCTGTAAGATCTACACTGTGGTGCTTTTGTGTCGCTATTAGCTAGTAATGTCATAATGTCATATTCCTGTTGTTTAAAGGGAAGCAAGACAGGTAAGTGATCTAATTTGTCTTCAGTATAATTATCTGTGTAAGTTATATCTTTGAAATGTAATGCTCAGTGCTGTGTGTCATGGCAGGAAAAGGGGCGATGTGATTGAGATTGAGGTTTTCTAATCTGCTCCCTTACTGATGTGTCCTCTCCAGGCCCGCATGGAGCGCACCGACATCGGCACTCTGCTCATCCCCAACATCAAGATGTCCGACTCAGGCACTTACATGTGTGTTGGCAGCAACAGCATTGGCTCGAATAGCGCTCCAATCAAAGTGACGGTGCTCAAAGGTGAGATGGTTCGACTGTTGGTGATTGACTCAGAGGTTCCAATTTGGTGTCCATGGGAACATTTCAGGTGTCATATTTTGCATTGAATTAGAGAAAACATAATGTGGTGCATATGTTTGTGTTTGTACAGCGGACCATATCTCATCAGTGGTCAGCATCCAGCCATCTATAGCTGATGTCCAGGAGGGCCAGAACCTGGAGCTCAACTGTTTGGCCCCCGGAAATCCTCCTCCCCAAGTCACCTGGACGAGAGCCAGTGGACGCCTCTCCTCCAACCACCAGGTAATCACACAAAAATGGAAAATGCATGTTATTTGTGTCAGAATCACTGCACAACACTGCCACTGCAGTTTGAAGCTTATTTAGCATTGGTGGAATGTGTCAGTACATTTATCCAAGTACTGTTCTTCTCTTACTGTTGAGTTATGTGTGCTTTACTTAAGTATTTCTATTTTATGCTACTTTATACTTTCACTCCTCTACACTTCAGAGAGAAATGTTTTGCTAAATCCTCTGCTTTTAACTCGCAACTATAGTCACTGGTTCCTTTGCAGACTTATAACTTATAAATGATGCATGATATGATGCATCGTTATAGATTCAACCACCCAACAGTGTATAAAGTAGTTAAAATTAGCTCCACCTCAGCCAGCTGTGATATTAAAATACTGCTTATGTGTCAGTGGTTGACAGTGAGCTACTCTGCCCAACAAGTACTTTTATATTTGATACTTTTTTGTAAATTTTGCTGATAATACTTTTGTATGTTTGAATGCAGTATTTAGCAGAGTGGTATTTCCTCTTACTAATTTAAAAACCCACTTTTTTGTTTGAGTGTATTCATGTTTCCTGTTTATTCCCAAATCATATTCTTTATTGTTGGTTAAACTAGTATCATATAGACTTGAGTAGCAGTAATGGTGGTAACAGTAGAAATATTATGAGTAATAAAAGCTATAATACTTTCAGTATTGTAAGGGTCTCCATTCCTTTGTGCAGGTTCTGGGCAGTCAGCTGCGGATCCTGTCAGCCTCTCCAGAAGACTCAGGAGAGTATATCTGTCGGTTGCAGAGCAACACTGGAAACCCAGGCTCTCATGTCCACCAGGCCTCTGTCTCTGTGTCTGTCACTTCATCTTCTTCACGTAAGTCAGTCAACACTTTAAGCCTTATGGATGTTATGTGGACATGTCTTGCTTTGTGGACTACACAAATGGTTTTTCACACTGCAACAGAGTGCAACACAATAAACACAAGAGCCCGTTTGTTCTTTTTCCATGTGTTTAATCCCGCTGTACTCTGCTGTGCTTGAGGTTGGGCAATTTACTCTGACTTTGACGGTCATTTCTTTCTCACTGAGGAAATTAGACTTGATGGCAGCATCAGTCACAGGCTGGGAGAAACACATTAATGGCAGGGCATTACATGGCAGAGTGTTGTTCTCAGACTAACACTGCCTCACTTCATGAATGAACTTTCCAGTTGTGCTTTCCAGTGTTGCCCAGCGTGACCTCAGATTGAATGATTTTCCTCGCTACTGTCCCATGATCTCATCCTCATTCACTCCTTCCTGGACCTCAGAAGAGTCTGAGTTTTAAACTGCTGCCAATGAAGCCCGTAGCCACATTGGATTGCAATTTGTTACTTCAAGTGTCTGTGAATGATATGTCAGCGTAATGAAGTGAGATCATGAACAAATCTGTCCAGAGCCTTAAAAAGCTGCCGGTTTCTGCTGCAGGTCTTCAGAGTCCAATCATCGCCATTGAGCCCCACAGTGCTGCAGTGCGTGTGGGGGAGTCAGCTAGCTTCAGGTGCAGGGTGTACAGCGGAGCCCAGCCTGTCAGACTGGAGTGGAAACTGGCCAGCAACCAACCGCTGCCAGGTAATAATAACACACACACACACACACACACACATACACACACGCTCAGCTGCCTCTGAGGAATAAGCCTGCTTAATGAGTTCTGATTTTATGAAGTCATTATTTACAAGCAATTACAGTCCACCCATTAAGCACTCCTCTGTTACTTCTTTTAATGACTGTAATGACTAATTGAGAACTCTCTCTCATCTCTTTCTCCTAGACTTGCACTGACATTTTTGCATTAACTAAAATTTTGCATGACATTAGCTAGAAGGGCACTCAGTGGGTGCAGACCAAGGCCAATGTCAAGCAACATACTTCATCAGACTTCAGAGAAAAAAAATTCTAATTCATAGCAAATGATCTGCCCCCAAAATTTAATGGGTTCTTCCCTGGCTCTCGCCCCACCCCCCCACCAAGTTCAGTGCAAATCAGTTCAGTACTTTTTGCATAATCCTGCTAACACATCAGACACAGGTGAAAACATAACCTCCTTGGCAGAGGTAATAATATCTGGTAAGATTTCATGACATGATGGCTTTTATTCTGGTCTTTACTTTATAGTATGTGTTGAATAAAGACAGTACATTTAATGTATGTTGTATCCAGTCATTTCCTTCAGTCTCAAATTTGCACCCTCACACTTTCATGTGATCATTTTTTTCTAAAAGGGCTTAAATAAATTTGACTGCACAAGGCTGGTCATTGTAAAATTCCTAGATTTTAATTAGCAGTCTTCAGCTTAGGTTCTCTTAGACGGTTTTTGAGTATCTTCAAGAGTTAGCTGAAACCTAAGATTGAGAGCTACTCAACATGTCTTAAAAAGCCACTCCAGCAATTAAGTTTCACTCCTATATTAAGTTGGAGGACTGAAAAGAGAGAAATTTAAGCTTCAAAAACACTTTTCAACATCTCAAGCCAAGGCAAAGATCATCAGCGTAAACAGGGTTATTTATTAAAACTTCAGAGAGCTTCCTCCGGGAGCAGAATACATTAGACAACTGTTTTCACAGGCTGAGCAGTATCAATACATGACAAGTAAACTGAACTCCCCTTTAAGCTTCATAAGTCTCCTGCGGTATCTACAGCAGCTCTGATTGTTGCATTTGCTCCCCTGTTCCGCAGATAATGTCAAAGTCGGCCCTGATGGTTCTGTTATCACCATCACCAGCGCGCGCCCTATCAACCACGGTGCCTACCGCTGTGTGGCGAGCAACCCGTTCGGCATCACTCACACCATTGTGTCTTTGATTGTCAAAGGTGAGTCACATGCACATCATGTTGTAAACAGGAGGAATCTTCACGAAGGGTTCCCTCTAGTGGCTGATCAGAGACATGGTCGTGTACTAGTATTTTGTACCTGTACTCTCAGAGATCCCTGTGGCCACCGTCACCCCCGTTGGACCTGTGCGCGTCAGAGTGGGCGAACCCATTAACCTGGAATGCCAGGCGTCAGGAGAGCCACGCCCCTCAGTGTCGTGGCACCGGCTGGACAGCAACCGTAAGACCATGCTGAGCAGCCCTGTACCCATGGAGTCCAATGCAGTCATGCAGGTACGGATCATGTCGTATTGTTGCTTCTGTGTTGCTATTTAAAGACTCGGATTCATAATCGGTCATTGAAATCAGCCTTTTTTTTTGGTTTTGTTTGTTTTGTATCTTGATAGCGAAATATATCAATTTTCCTCTTGTGCAGATACTCGTGGCACGTCCAGAAGATAGTGGCACATACGTGTGCACAGCTCGCAACAATGAGGGCTCTACGGAGACCAAGATAGAGGTGGTTGTTGAGGGAGGCTCTCAAGTTCCATCAGTGCCCAGAGGCTCCGTTCCTGAGCCACTGATGATTGTGGTGGAGGGACAGACTGCGACACTGCGCTGCGAGGCCCACGGTAATGACTAAGAAAAATGTCATTTGAGTTCACTTGAATGTGTTATGTTTTGTCTTCTTGTGTCACTTTTTCATGTCGCATCACTTCACTCTATGAAAGAGAAACATCTTTATTGTAAATGAAAGTCAGAAACTGGCTTTTCAAAATGAGCCAAGCCAAGGATTTATGTTTTACTCTCAACTTTGCTTCTCTAGGTTTCCCCTCACCAACAATCACCTGGTCCAAGCTGCGGTCTCCTCTGCCTTGGAGACACAAGGTGGTGAACAACAGCTTGGTGCTGCCCAACGTGGGCCGGCAAGACTCTGGAGAATACATCTGCAGTGCCACCAACAACATGGGCACCACTGACGTCACCATCATGCTAGATGTAGAAAGTGAGTGTTGTTGTTTTTTTACATTTAAAAGAAAAAAAATCTATTCAGCTTTATTATTTTTAAATATAGTATCCACTGAACAGAAATTCCTTCTTCATGTTTCATGTTGCTCCCAAGAAAACAAACAAACCCAATGATTTTTTTCCTCCTATCTTTAGCTCTTCCTTATGCCACATCTGTGCCTGATGATGTGGCTGTGCGTGTCGGCGAGGTGATCAGGTTGCAGTGCCTGGCCCACGGCACTCCTCCTTTAACCTACACTTGGACCAAGCTGGATGGAAACCTGTCCCCGAGGGCTCAAGTTAGCGGCGGGGATCTCCAGATCAACCTGGCCGCTGCCGAGGATGCCGGGAGCTACAAGTGTGTGGCCAGCAACAAAGTGGGCAACAGTGAAGTGGTCGCCAAAGTCACAGTCAGATGTGAGTTTGCTGATAATATGATGATTCGACAAGGTTTAACATGTCATAAAGATAGTTGGCAAATGTTTCAGAGTATCTAAAGATCCATGAAGGAGTGTGCGCAGTGATATTCCTGCACCGCAACAAGACCTAAAATACATCTCTGTCGTTCCCCTCTGTAGCTCCTCTGGCGGTGCGTGTGTCACCCCAGGTTGAGGTGAAGGCCCAGGGCAGCGCTGTGGAGTTTACCTGCTCAGCAGCAGGTGGAATAGAAACCAAAATTGAGTGGCTGAAGGAAGGAGGCGCCCTGCCGCCAAACCACCACATCAAGGATGGAGTGCTCAGGTGACTCATAAGGCTCTGTGCTGGGTTGTTGGAAATAGGCAACAGTACAAGACAAAAACAGCTCTGAATGTTTGGATACGTATGATATTTAAGGATCAAATGCATCAAATGCAAGTTTGCATATTTAATATATACTACTCTTTTTTTTTTTAATGCTAAATTATTTGAGCATGGCACCTTTTAGCAAAAGTTACTCAAACAGGAATAAATAGCACTTTTGTAAGGGACTGTTTTCAGCTAAGGATTTGGCGAGCTAGCAAGTATTTAGCAACAGGACGGTTGGTGACCGTTGGGTCAACTCAAAAAAAACTACAGTGACTAAACATGTCATCCGGTGCAACAGTGAGACTCACTTATGGGTTTTAATAGGTGTTGGACAACAATGAAAGTCTATAGCCCCAGAGGAATAAACTATATCAGGCTTCGGCTACACAGAGAGTACTTGTTTGGAGAATACATTTATTGTTGGTTTTGGTCTTTTCATGGATTGTTTTGGCCATAAAAATGTAGAATATTACCAGACTTATCCTTTAAATGGGTTAAAACATTTAAATCTACTGATAAAATTCCTTAAATGTGTAATATGTAAAGTAAAAACGGAACCATGACTTGTTTTCATGTGTAATTTAATGTCTCTCCGTAGGATTGAGAACCTTGAGCAGAGCAATGAAGGTGTTTATATCTGCAGAGCGAGCAGTGTGTATGGTCAGGCCCAGGACACTGCCAGACTGACCATCCAAGGTCTGTAGAATTTACTGCAAATATAGTAATGTATATACAACTTAATCAAACACAATATAACTCCTTCCTGTTTTTGTCACATTTCTCTTTTTTTTCCCCACAGCCCTGCCAAAGGTGATGATCAACGTGCGTACCTCGGTGCAGACCGTGATGATTGGGAACTCTGTGGAGTTTGAATGCCAGGCTGTTGGCGACCCGGAGCCCACCGTCAAATGGAGTAAAGTAGGCGGGGCTTTGCCAACTCACATCATGGTGAAAGGCGGCATGCTGAAGATCGATCAAGTGACGGAGGCCGACGCTGGGCAGTACCGCTGTACCGCCACCAATGACGTAGGCTCAGTACAGTCCCAAGTGGTCCTTAACGTTCAGTGTGAGTAATCCTTAAAACCGTCCACAAATGCACAACTGATCTCTTGTCACTATCCTCATTGAAAATCCTTTGCCTCTTTGCACAGCCCTTCCTCAAATTGCTGCGCTGCCAGAAACAAAAGAGGTGACAGTCGGGTCTGATGCAGTCTTGCCCTGTGTGGCCTCAGGATATCCTGTGCCTGAAATCAAATGGTCCAAGGTAAACCACAGTCCAGGAATTCCTTGTAGTACTTTTTTAAATTTGTAGTACTGTTTACTGTCTATAGTCCAAATGCTTGCCAACTCATCTGGCTTGAAGAGAGTAAACATTTTGCTGATGCTGATTGTGTTTACTGTATCTATTTCTTCATCTAGCTGGAAGGAGAGCTTCCTCCCAAGTGTTTCCAGGAGGTCAATGTGCTGACGGTCCCTCGCATCACCCATGACGATTCTGGGACATACGTCTGCACCGCCTCCAACAAACAGGGCAAAGTGGAAGCCTTTACTACACTTATGGTTCATGGTTAGTATGCGGAGTGGACAGCACAGTAGGAACGGAGGTTTTAAGTAGGAACTACATATTTCTCTGAATCTAACCATGAGATTGTCTGCTTTTTCAGAGAGAGTGATGCCGTACTTTGCCCAGGAACCGTTGTCTTACCTCACCCTGCCCACCATCAAAAATGCCTACAAGGCTTTCAGCATTAAGATCAACTTTAGACCAGACAATGTTGATGGTAAGGAAGCACACCCTTAAATCTTCTTGACAGTTTAATTGTACATTCTACTATGTTTAATCTTGCAGTGCGGTAATCTATATGTCATATTTCCTCATGTATAATTTTTACTGCGTCTTGTGTCCCCTCCCCTCTCTCCCTCACCTCTCCCTCTCACCCACGTGGTGGGAAGGTCTCATATTGTACGCTGGTGAGTCTCAGTGCTTGAGAACCACAAGGAGCTCAAGGCTGATGTTGGCAGTGCTTCTTTCTTTTTGGCTGCATCAGACTTTCACATAATGCATCCAGCTCAGAGCAGATTTAGGGGCTGTGAAAGAGATGCAGTGTGGTGCATGGCCTACGTTTTTTTTTTTTTTTTACTGTACAGGCTGTTCGGTCATGATCACAAAGCCACTTTTAGGAGTATTACAGTCATCGGCTTAATAAAAGCTTGGTTATAAATCTCCTTTTACTTCGTAGTCTACTTTATCAGCTTCTGCGCTGCCTACGGAGCAGAACTGCTGCTTCGAATCACAGTCCATATATGCTACAACTATATAAATGCAATGCTACACACGTGTCTTATTTAAGCTTCGGTACAGTTCCAAGTGAGCGAAAGGAAACACAAATAGCCTTTGCAAGTAGTAATTGGCTTCTTTTTTTTTTTTTTAACCTACCCGCAGTTTGTGGAGACATGACAGCAAAATAGAAAAGACACAAAGGAAAATATATGGCTGTTATTCTTTATATTAACAGTTTAATATTTTTCTTCGACTCGCAACTTATCTGTGACTTTGGATTTTTGCCGCTCAGTCCATCAGGTAACAAACTGCAGAAAAAAGCTACAAATTCATTGCAAAAGCTATTTGACTTGATGATATTCATTTAAAGGTCTGACACAAAAATATGTGCAGCACATCCCGGGTAAGCTTACTTACACTTTACAAATCAACTGTGTTGCACATTTATGCAGACTGCTCTCTCTCTCGTGGTCAGAGCTAGAAATAGACAAATAGATGTGAAAGAGGGCATGTTCCCACTTCCCCGTGAGCCTGTGTGGCTCGTGTAAGCATGTAAATATCCAGCATGTGGAGAAAGAAAAGCGAGGACTAGTAGTATAAATCTAACTGGTTGCACTGGGCAACCCAATGGTCGGATAGCAGGTTATAATCTGGCTTTGGTTGGCTTTAAACCTGCCTCGCCATAGCATGCTGCTTTACCGTTAAAGAGTTTATCTTGTATGTTAATGATTCCATTACAAGCAATGTCCATCCTAACAAGTCACTTCCACTTATATATATATATATCCATATATTTCTATACAGTGTAAAATCTTGATTTTCTTGAGTGACAAATTCTACCACTGGAATCAAATGATTAAGGATCATTGCAACAAAATGCAACAAAAATCAGTTGCATTGTCTTGAGACAAAAAGGAAACTTCTGGAAGATTCTGCTTGATTACTATAATAAAACTGGCAGATTTATTGAGTTGTTAAGATGGATATTATTGTATGGTGATCTAGGATCATATTTGTAGTAGTTCTCACTAACCCTGTTTTTGTGGTGTAGGTATGATCCTCTACAATGGCCAGAGGAGGACCACAGGAGCCGACTTTATCTCTCTGGGACTTGTGGGCGGTCGCTTGGAGTTCAGGTCGGTTTATACTTTATATTCTTTAAAGTTCTAAATGACTTGTGTATACAAAAAATGAAAAAGTGAAAATACAGCATCATGAAGCCTGTCGATGATCATCATTTTTAAAAAATCTGTTGTGTTGTCTCAGGTTTGACGTGGGCTCCGGCATGGCCAGTATACGTGACCCCAACCCTATCAAACTGGGAGAGTTTCACACCGTCGAGCTCTATCGCAACCACACCCTGGGCTACATTATTGTAAATGGAGGGGAGCCCATCAACGGCAGCTCACAGGTACTTATGTAACTCCTTCTCCCACCCATTTGTGTTTGATGAACTCAGTGATTCATACAGTAAACGCTCATTTCCTCTCCTCAGGGCAAGTTCCAGGGTCTGGATCTGAATGAGGAGCTGCATGTGGGTGGATACCCTAACTACACACTCCTCGCCAAAACCGCTGGCATTAAGACCGGGTTTGTTGGTAAGACGTCACTCAGTAAGGATAGAAATATAGTATAGAGAAAACATTTTTTTCTGAGCGTGCTGAATTGTCATCGCTGAATATTGGTACTGTGCAGGCTGTATCCGTCAGCTGGTCATCCAGGGTGAGGAAGTCATCTTCAAAGATCTGGACCGCAGCTCTACTGGCGTCACCAACTGTCCCACCTGCAAAGATCACCCATGCCAGGTCAGTTATATCCATCCACTCGATGCATTTGTAGTGACTGGTCTGTGTTTAATTCCTTAACATCAATAAGATTTCTCTCATGTTATTCAGAATGGCGGCAGGTGTGAGGACTCGGATGCCAGCTTGTATAAGTGCAGCTGCCCCAGAGGATTCACCGGAAGCAACTGCCAGCACCACTCATCCCTGCACTGTCACTCAGGTACATGTGAATCTCCACAGCTAAATTAAAGTAATAACAGGGTAGCTTTATACTAGTAGATAAGAGAAATGGTCTCTTGACCTTTTGTTACCTGAATCCCCACAACAGAGGCCTGCGGACCGGACGCCACTTGCATCAATCGCCTGAATGGCCTGGGCTACGACTGCCGCTGCCATCTTGGCAAGTTCGGAAACAAATGCATGGATGGTAAGACGGGAAATCAATCACCCTCACCTCCCATAAACATGACATAGTTTTAGGTATTTTCCAGCTGTTATGTCCTGTTAATATTCCTCAAGAAACTAAATCTTGATGCATTTTCCTCCTCCTTTGCCCTTACTAGGAGAACTGGTGACCACTCCACTGTTTGATGGGGAGGAGTCATATATAGCCTATCCCCCTCTGACCAACATCCACGATGACCTGCGTGTTGAGTTGGAGTTCAAGCCGGTGGATAGAGACGGCCTGATGTTCTTCTGTGGTGGGAAGAAAATGAAGGTGGAGGACTTCGTCGCCATCTCCATGGTGGACGGACATGTAGAGTTCAGATATGAACTGGGCACAGGTGAAGTTGACTATAACTGTGCAAAACTGAATTTCTCTACATCTAACCCTAGTACAACTACATCCCTGTTTATTAGGTAAATTGTCAGAGCAAGTAAAATATCTGTTGACCTATCTTCATTTTCAGGCCAAGCAATCCTTCTCAGTGCTGAGCCAGTCTCTCTGGGCCAGTGGCACAGAGTCGTGGCCGAGCGGAACAAGAGGGCCGGCCACCTGAGGGTCGACCAAGGCCAAGTGGAGAGGAAGACATCTCCAGGAAAAGCCCAGGGCCTTAATATCCACACCCCCATGTACCTGGGAGGAGTCCCCAACATGGACATCCTGCCTAAGCCTGCAAATGTCAGCGAATTGTTTCAGGGATGTATAGGAGAGGTGAGATCTCGCAGTGCTAAAAAAAAAAGGAAATAAAACAAAAGGTAATAAACGTTTTCTTGTAGCCTGTAGCTTAAACTTGTCTCCTTTGCTGCCCGCTTAGGTTTCTATCAACAACAAGAAGATGGATCTGTCCTACAGCTTTACAGAAAGCAGATCTATCCGCAAGTGTGTGGACAACAGCCCCTGCGACCGCCGGCCCTGTCTGAACGGTGGTCACTGCATGTCGAGTGCTGAGTATGAGTACCAGTGCCTCTGTAGGGATGGATTTGAAGGTTAGTGCTCGAAGTCCTGGTGGCATTGGCGACTATAATCATTCTGCAACATTCTGTATACTGGTGAATTTTGGCAGATTTTTCACTTCATTTTTTGAGCTATATTTACCCAAGATGACCTCCTCTATGATAAACTGTTCTAATCAGCTTCTTTTTGCTTGTGGCTGCATTGTGACATAAAACATGGTGAAAAAAAATTCTCAGTAATTTTCAGTTAAAATTGGTAAAAAGTCAAAAACAATCTCCAAACCCCTATGAACTCACCCTGCCTTTGGTGTGAACTTGACCCTTGACCTTTCACCCCTGAGCCATGACTGGTATGTGACCCTGCAGGTGAGCGTTGCGAGGTGGTGAAAGATGTGTGCCAGAACAACCTTCAGTGCCAGAATGGCGGCAGCTGTGTCGACGGTCAGTGTGTGTGTGCACCTGGCTACACAGGCCTGAACTGTGAAGAAAGTAAGTATTGCTTATGATCATTACCATGTGTACCAAAACCCAAATTTATAATGATCCAATGTCAGTAGCAGCCAGTTAGTCTAAAAGCAAATCATATGTGTCCTCGTAGTACACGTTACTTAGTGCATACACCTGCTGTAGACAAAGATATTCATCTTCAAAGCAGAAACACTGCACATAAAGCCAGAAACAAACCCATATGACTCACATTCTCCACAGTATGAAGCCCCTCTTACATCAAACAGTTCACTCCCAGCATGGCAGTGCATGCTGGGAGGGTTAACCCTAAGTGATTACTTGTGTCTTACCCCTGCGCTCTCATGGCTATATCCTGCACATACAGGCCAGGTCTCCAGCTTCCCCGAGGCCCTGTGGAATTTGGAAGCTAGCGAGGCAAATGGTACAGTATCCTAACATTCAGTCTGCCTGACACGACCGTGACTAACAGGGGCTGAAGGGGCCTCGTGTACCTTCCGAGCTCAACCTGATCTGTCTATCGCCTAACACGTGTTCGCGCATAAACGCAAAAAACCAAACATGCGTCTGTACTCAACTGGCAACTGAGGCTCTTGTGCCCTCTGGAAAGTTGGGAGAGGGGAATTCTGCATCTATACTAAAAGGTAATAGGATGGTAGATTGCAGTTGGGAGATCAACTGATTTCTTCTTCCTGTTTTTGGACCCATGACACCATATCACCATATTAAAACTGGAAATGCTAGAATGTGGAATTCCCCTTGTTTTCCTTTTCCCTATCATTACGTCAATGCCCGTAAGATGGCTACTCACAACATAAAATCTTTTTTTTCCGTCTACTTCAAAACTGCCTGTCTATACAACAAGAACAAAACTCACAGAAACTGTCCCAAGTCAGAACATTAAATCTGCTCTATGTCAACACATTTGTGCTGTTACTAACAACTTCAAGTGTCTGTTGAAACCACAGTGTGGTGGTTGTTTGGGTGAGTTGAGATGTGTTTCAAGCATATTTTCTACTTAATTTGTTATTTGTGCATGGAGTCACGGTTCATGAGTTCAGTCCCATCTCTGCAGAAGGTCAGAGATGGTGTGGAGTGTGAGGAGAATGACAAATAACTTGCTCATGTGTTGGTGAGGACTGTCGAATGAGACTGCATCATGCAGTTTAGTTGTACTGGGGATTTTTGTTGTTTTTGTTTGGAAATTGTAGAACTTGCCTATGGATTTTGGCCACATATTGAAATTTAGGATTATGATATACTTTTTCCATGTATGTATTTAAAGTGAAACTATTAGACTTTTGAGAGAAGAAATAATATAATCTTACATTTACAAATGGGAATTTAATTTCTAAGCAATAAAACACACCTTTGCTCATTTCAGTACATTCAAAGGGTTTGCTGTTACAGCCTTACTTGGTGTGGTATAACCACTAGCTTAAAGTGGCTAACGTTAGCTACTGTTAGCAAACTTTAGACCCAACTTTGTAACAGTTTAACTTTGCACACATTTTATCAAAAAATTATAAAACAAAACAATCTCTGACATGCTAAATTTTTATCTGTGACATGCTAAAACTTATTGCAACAGTAGCACAAGCACAGAGTAATAAGGTCAGCAAAAAAAAAAAATCAGTAATACCATCTACACAGCAATGTCTATCAAAAGTTCTTTGCTAACATTAGTTAACATTAACCACAAGCAACTGGTCATAAAAGACCAAATGAGGCTGTAGCAGCAAAATTCCTAAGTGTATTTCACTGAGCATGTATGTATGTACAGTATTTCTTAAGAATTCAACTTTTTATTTGTAAGAGTAAGAATATTTTATTTGTTCTTTCAAAAGTTACATAGTTCCACACCACCAACAAATTGAAGACAATTCTGGTGTCAGTGAAAGAATACTTCTTTTTGTTAATGAATGCTGTGTAACCAAGCCTGTCTTACCAGGGTTTCTTCCATGCTTTCGCCACTGGAGGGCAGCATAACAGTGAGGATGAAAGTTCACAGCAGCCTTGCTATAATCTGAATACTGTTTTAATTTGTATTTTACTGTACTTTTTTTTGTAGATTCACCCTACCAATATGCAGCTCATTTCCACAATGATGGATACATTGCCCTTCCTAAATCCATTTTCCCAAGAAGGCAAGTGCAGTTTGCTTTTCAACATTGTTTTGCTCTTATAATTTGTGTATTATTAGGAGTTAATACTTCAACAGTAACATTAGTGTTATTTTTTTCTTGTTTGTTTTTTTCTTTCTTACAGTGCCCATGACTCACCAGAGACCATCGAACTGGAAATCAACACTGGCTCCTCTGAGGGTCTGATCCTATGGCAGGGAGTGGTGAGTCCTGGTCCTGCTCATGTCTTTAGACTTATCTATAGGACTGAGCCATGGTTTAATCCAAATCTTAAACCTAATACTCACATATCCCTCCCTTCCACCTCTTAATCCTCACCCAAACTTTGCTACTGCACATCAACACTCTTAATCATCACCACTACCTCAACTGTGAAGAAGTGACACTCATTAATGTTCTCATAACATTCAATGCGACTTTCAGACTTAAACGTCAACATCAACACATCACTGAAACAATACTGCATTTTCTTTAATTTCCATGTTTCACTGGCTGTCGAGCAGCATTCCCCATCACACTGTCTAATTCATACTTGTGCCGCTGAGGCTGTGACTTTGTTGGGCATGTTGGCTGCAAGCCTGGCTCTATCTGACACCACTAAATAAGTGCATGTTGCTTCTCTAACTCATCCTCCGTTTTCCTCAGGAGACCAATGGCGCACGCAATTTGCGAAAGGTGCATGCTAGTAAAAAGGTATCGACTCATACACAAGACACTCTTTATTTATTTGGCATGTCTCATAACATGCATTTTCAAGAAAAGAATATGTATGCTTGAACAGTTGTACTTGATTTGAAATACATGATGAAATAAAAAGGTGTCTGTGTTTGTATTGCACGATGTGCATCATGGCTTCTTTGTCATTGTTATTTTGCATGGAAGATTTTATGTCACACTTATACACATACTGTTGGGAACGATCTGACTTCAGTAAATAATGCTTGCTTTTGTAGCACTTGATGAGGAATATTACCACAAAGCAGCTGGTCATTGGTCAATAGTTATAATATGCAGACACACAGCATCTTTTTCCTCTGCTGACTAAACATGTTTATTTCCAGGAACTCGGAGAACACGGCAGAGGCAAGGACTTCATTAGCCTCGGCTTGCAGAACGGACATCTTGTTTTTAGGTGACTTCTGAGGTTCTGTTGATATGTGGATGAATATTATTTTCAGCTTAAATTCATGTTGTAGTAATGCTGATGATTTGTATAATATCCAGTTACCAGCTGGGCAGCGGAGAGGCACAGATCTTGTCCCGGAGGTCTATCAACGATGGGAAATGGCACAAGATCACAGCAGTCAGGTATGATGATATATTATATCCTGCAGTCCTTTGATTTCACAGGGTTTATACAAACAAACATGTTTGTTGGAACTTTAGGTGAGATTTCAGATGATTAAGTGTTATAACCAGAAAAGTGAGAACAGGTGACCAAAGTTGTGCAGTGATTTTTTAAATCATTGTGCATTTACATCCATATTACATTTATTTACAACAACAGAAGCAGGCATGATGCTCATTGTGCTGGATTACTGAATGGAAAACAGGAAAAACACATTCATCTAGAATAGTATGCTTTGAGATATTGTCCGAAGTAATGCAAACTACATACTGCTATAGTTCTTTTTATTTCTTTATTTTAATTCTTATTATGAAACAATGTGCCATACAAGCTTGAAATTCCATAAGAGCTGCTTGGATTTATGTTGTCTGTTTTTCCTCTGGCATATCAAATACAATATATCAGCTATACACTTTTTTTCACAGCAAACATTTTCACCTGTCAAAGCAGGAAAAGCAAAGCTGGAAATGTCATTAAATACAAATATGCTTTTCTTACTATGACATTAACATGTAGTGTCAACTATTTCCTGAGTAATGTGTATTTAGTTCTTTTGTTGACTTGTGCTGTTTTTTTTCGTAGAACTGGAAAAGATGGATATATCCAGATTGATGGAGGAGCCGCGCTACATGGACAGTCTAAAGGCAAGAGCCTCATGGTCAACACCAAAGGCAGTATATACCTTGGTGAGTAGAGTGAAAGTTTGGAGTCCGGAAACAGACAAAATTTAGTTGTCACACTTAAGTCAAAAATATATTTGAAAATACTGATAAGTAATATTGTTAGTTAGATGATAAATAGTTGAATTAAATAGATAATAAATACAAAGCGTACATTATTTTCCTTTAACAAAAAAGTTACATCAGTGGAGCAATATGTGGGGCTATCAGCCATTACACTTAATGTTAATCATCCATATACTGCCCTGCATGCTATACAGTGTATTGCTTGCTTTGTGTTAGAACAATAAGAGTTTGTTCTTAGAAGATTGGTTGTTTTTTTGTTTTGTGAAATGCAACAAAGTTTTGTGATTACAAGAAAACATTCTTGAGCCGCTCCCATATACCACATATCCACAACGTCATATCCCCCCTTTCTCCTTCCCTCCATATTTCCTGTCTGTACTGTATTTCTACTGCCACAATCAAATGAAAGCAAAAACAAAAGTTAAAAAAGAGAAAAGTTTTGGTTTCCAGTAATAATGATAAAATATGTCATAATTAGATGAAAAATGTTATATCGTTAAAAGGATCTTGTAAAAACAAGTGTCTCATTGTAACTAGACACACAGCAAATTGTCGCTGGTCTATTTGGAAGTTCACGGACACCATTTTGAAGGTGGTAATAACATTAGCTTCATATTCAAGTGCAGTTAGCCATGTGATGTATTCAGTTATGCTGCTTTGTCAGTGTAATAGCTTCAGAACAAATAAAAGAGTTTCTCACTATAGAAAATGAAATGTAATATCTTATTGTACATACTTAGTTATCTCAGTCATTTATTTAGTCTAAAACCTGTTCTGTTGGTCCAAATGTCTAAAGAAAAATTCTATCACTACATGTTTATTATGTGTGTGTATGTGTGTGTGTGTGTTCTCATGTGACAGGTGGAGCCCCAGACATGGCTGCTATGACGGGAGGCAAGTTTTTGTCAGGAATGACGGGCTGCGTGAGGAACCTGACGCTGATGAACGCCCGGCCGGGCCAGCAGCCGGCCCAGGCCATCGACCTGCAATCCCACGCAGCCCACGGCATCAACGTGCAGCCGTGCTCTTCATAGACCGCAGCACACACGCCAACACCCATACACACACATGCACACACAGAGACTATGGAGTGATGTCACACACACACACACACACACACACACACACACACACACACACACACTCACACACACACACACACACACACACACAGCAGACTCACACAGAGAGACTTATACACATAGAGCCTGACAAACTTGGTGCTTTGCTGCTACCAAAAAAATAACAAAAAAAAAACAAAAACAAGATGACACAACAGGATTCGTTTCTCTGTGTGCAGTAAAACCAAAAAAGAGAGAAAAATTGAAACGATATTAACAAGTCTTCTCTTCCTCAGTGTTGTATTCTCAATGAAGGACTATTAACACAGGAGAACCAGTACAGTTTACATACTTCCAGCAGTAGTTTTAGTCATGAGAAGAGTAAGAGTAAAACATATTAGGCCTTCTACGATGGGTCAGATCCTATGGAGTTGGAGATGTTTTTACAGCACTGAATTTTTATTTATATACATATGAATATATATATTATATTTGTGGGGGAAAACATGCAAACTAACCATAACTGCTCTTCAACTTTCCTAGAGTTTATTCTGGGTTCTAATACTGTGTGTCCAAGGCTTTTTTTAATAGGCCTAACTGTATTAATACTTGAAGACGTTTAGGCCTTCTTTCTTCACTTCTGTAGAGGAACTTTTTTTTTTTTTTTTTTTTTTTTTTTTTTTTTTTGCGCGAGCATGCTTACAGTCTTTTGGGAGAGGAGCATACACACACACAGTCACGGTCACATGCAGCTTCAGTACACAACTCAGGTCGTTAAAATACACGTTAATTACCGCAAATGTTACACAAGTGCTGCTGCTTTAACTCGGCTGAATTGTTCCGCTTCACACGTCACTCGCAGCGCCGGTGTGTCTGCTGTGTCTGTATTTGTTCTCTTTTTTTACAAAAAAGAAAGAAACCTTGGTGCTAACGTCAGACATGAAGATACAGCACATAGTCATATGGTTGCCTGTCTGCCTTGTTTTTTTTTTTTTGTTTTTTTTTTTGTTTTTTTTTTAGTATTTGGTTACTTTAGATTAAGAAAACTCTCTAAAACAGTCTCCACTAGTGTCACATTTGTTAATATGCATGGCATTTGAGGTTGAATTTATGATGATACGGCATGATTTGTTGCCTCCGCAGCCTTATATGATTGAGTAGATCTCAAAAAAGCAAGAGAAGGGTGTAATTTTTTTTAATGTGTGGTTGTTGAAGATATTGTTTCATGTGTAAAACTGCCAGTCAGGTAGATATCTGTATCAACTGAGAATGAGTGTGTTTGCTATGAGTAAATTTGCTTGTTATGTATGTCTCAGCCCTTTCCATTTCTCACAGGTTACTCTACTTTAAGCCCCAATATGGAGTCAGGTGTGTGTGTGTGTGTGTGTCTGTGTGTGTCTGTGTGTGCGCGCGCATGCATGCGCGCATGTGTCATTATCCATTTCCTCAGGAGGTTCAATCCAGAACTGCCTCAAGATGTAACTTCATTTTCAGGTTTGGTAGCTTTAGTGACAATTCAGGAAGCTATAAAACTCTGAAGGCTCCGTGGTTCTGTAGGTTGTTTTCTCTGCAGCAGGACACAGTTGTAATAATAAAAAAGTGTTAAGTCATGTGGGGGGCGCAGTCGAAGCCTCCAGTTAAAAGTGCTGCGACCGGTAGTGTAGCTCAAACAAAGCATGCTCGCCCCCGCCTTTAGTCGACCACACCACAAAAACCACAACGGCACGATCACTTTGGGGTTCAAAAACCTTTTTTTTCCTTCTCATTTTTGTAAGCTTAAAATATTTGTATTAATATCCTTAAAAAATGAGCACTATCCTTTCACTTAGAGTTGCTTCATTTTTTATTTATTTTATGTTTTTTTTTCTTTTGTTTGTTTTCCTTTTCCTCTTTTTCATGGCTTCTGTTTTTCGACACTTTGATTCTGCTGTTTTAGAACAATCACAGAAGCTTGCTATTTTCTTTCCTCTGGTTATTGTGTATTGCCTCCCACATCCCCTTGTTTTTCCCCTCATGTTTGAATATGCCCCCTCCCCCTCCCCCCACCTAGTAAGTTCTTTCAGAAATCACCCCAATGAAGTATCATGAAAGGTTCATGTGTAATACCTGACTGGAGCTGCCTGGTCATATGGTTGGAAACTGGTCTTATTATTCACTCGATGAAAGAAGAAAAAAAAAAAGTCTTAGGCTCCTAATACAATGAATGGGTTATTTATTTACTCAGAATGGTGTCATCATGAACATGTGGATTGAAAAGAGCCAATCCTGTGCTCCATGTTGAGGACACTGAAGCAGAGTAGGGTAGAGTGTGTGCTCCTCGTCGGGGCACCTTTTTGTGTATCTGCTCTTGAACTGGATTTTCATATATACACTGTACACTGATGCAAAGTTGTCAAGAAACTGCCACTGCTTTTTGTTTTCACGCCATTACAAAATATGAAAGGTGCACTTTTAGTAACAATGGCAGTTTTTACTTTGATTTTTTTTTTTTTTTTTTTTTTTTTTTTTTTTTTTTAATTTTAACTGTTCCACTATCCTGAATGGCAGAAAAAAAAAAAGCGAATCACTCAGTCAAATGAATGAAACTGTACCAGATGAAATATATTGTCCACGTCAGGACAACCTGACTGTTCCATTTCCAGTGTTGAAAAGACACTCCCCTCACCCTTGGTGTTTCTTAATTAAAAACAAAATTCATGTGCTATTTGTAATCTCGTGAGTTTTCTTTTCTCAACACTGTATTTACTGTTGTCTGCTCTGCGCTGCGAGGTGGGTTTATATGGAGCATTCTTTGCACCAAATCACATCATTGTTCCCAAATGATCCATTGTGCAGGTAAGCCTTTAACCCAGTCCCTGAAGAGAGGCCGATTACACTTTCTATTTAGAAAGTCAAGACCCAGTGTTCCCATGTCGTGGTTACACCCAAGTTTTCTAAAATAAACCTGTCCAAGGGGTACAGTACTCTCATCTTACAGAGCCTCCTGTATTTATTCAAGTTACCATGGCAGTGGATAAGCAAAACATCATGTAAAGCGAATGCCAGATAAAACAAGAAGTCTTAAGAAAGAAGAAAAGGTTAAGTAGGTTAACGTGTCAGATGAGTTGTTGGTACTGAGACTGTGTACATGTGTATTCTGTACACTTATGTAACAGTAGTTTATATTAATAACTTCATGAATGTTGTGTACAAGTGATAAACATCACTTCTAAACACCAAATTAAAACAGCAAGTTGAAAAGCTACTGTTGTTGATGCTTTGTGCTGAAGCTAACTGAGCATTTGTCACTGACAATGCATCAACAGGCAGCAGTTATGTAACCAGATAAGAGGGACCACTTTTAGCCACAGGGGGTTGGAAGGGGTTTGGGGGGGGGGGTTACCTGTACATTATAATTGGCTGTGTGATGTTCAAACTGTAAACATGAGGTCTAATCTTCTGTCAGTCTGTCAGAAGACTTTTACCACAGGGGGGGACAAGACAGGGGTTTGGGTTTGAGGAGGCTCAGTTTTCATGTAGTGGTTATGTAAGACACTGTCACCTCTTTAAGAAATTACAGTGTGTGTGTGCGTGTGTTGGATCTAAAAGCAGGTCTATTGTGCATCTTCAATTTCAGTCCCACAGATCTGTCATCCTTTGAAAAGGTGAGGTCTTCGTCTGCTTCCTTTACTTTTTTGTAAAATATAAAAAATAAAATTAAAAGTTGCTTATTCACTTCACACTGGCCTAGGTAGAAATAAATGAATTGTCCCTTTCACACAAGCAAAGTTTACAGAGCCTGACTGACTTCAGAATAAATAATAACATTGAGAAGCTTCTTAGTTTCAGAAGCTAAAGAAAGACGTGTTGCAGTCTTTCCTCCTCCCAAAGATATGGGTGGAAGCTGACATGTCGGGGTCATGTTTTAGTTTTTTTTCTCCAGTCATCATTGCACATTTTAACACATGTTCATGTTTGTTTTATTATGTAGTGCATATTAAGTAGAGCCACACAACGATTAAATCAGTTTCTCATTAAAATCATAAAAAGACATGTTTTGTTGTTTTGTCATGTTTGGATTTTTTTTGGCATTCTTATTAATCTGGAGGCAACTTTCTAAAGTTTATAAAAAATAACCTATCATTGTTCTCTCAGCTTAGTGTTAGAGATGTCTTGGAGTTTGAAAGGTGCATGTAGGGCAGGGATGGTAAGATGCTATCAAATAGCATTATGGGAAGTGTAGGATTCAGTGTTTTTGTAGCTTCACCCATATTATGGACTACAAATGAAGTTATCTGAGCTTTTGCTGCTTCGATTTTCACTACATTTAAAAAAAAAAAATGTGTATCTTTAAAGTGCACTAAGTTGCAGGAGTACCCCTTTAATCAAAAACAACTCTCTTGTTAGCTTGTTGTGCTCATCCCCTCTTTGAAGAAATGTCAGTGCGTCAGATTTCTATCATTTTCCATTTCTCTTTACCGTGAGCTCTGCATTAAAGTCAGAGTAACAAAACACAGTCCTGACTTTTCTCAGATAAGGCCCATAAGCAGCGTTTAGAAAAGCTGCCGGAGTGCAGTACATGTCACACACAGACAGCCAACAGCACTTCACTTAATTCCTTTGTACAACATAGATGAAGTATGTTACGTCTGGGCTGCTGTGTGTCCTTTTTAGTGACACTAAAATTCACAGTAGAAATAACATCTGATCAGACGTGTCCAGCATTTAGTTCATGATTGAAAACTGGCACAGTTTGAATATAAAACTGCTGCAACACTTGAATCATTCTTTCTTTTTTTAAGAGATTCAGTTCAGTTAGACGTTGAAAGCCCTGCGGTCACATCTTGTAAGAAGTGCATCACTTCCCTGGGTGTGTTGTGTCACAGTGTCGTGCAGGCAGCAGTTATTTTACACTAATCCTGGTTATTTTACACCTTTCTCTCAGGAACGTTTAACAGCCTCACAGGCCTGAGGCTTTACTGTTTGGCCAACAACGCAATTGTTATCTACAG